GAACATGTGGGTGTATATGTATGTGTGCGTGCATACGGGCGTGGGTTAGGGGCCGCGGCCACAATACTTCCTGTTGATGCGCTAAACTCCCAAGTTTGTGTGAGAGTTGTCAGAAGTAGCAGTACAAAGTTTAGAAACAGAAAAGAGAGAGGTTTCACTAGCAGTAGTTGGGATACATATAGCAAACCCTAACTGGGTTGTACCCGCTATAGAGCACCCCACTACAGGCTAGATAATAACATTCTGACACACCCCCATAGCCAAAGTGGGATGTAATCAACACAATGAGCAGGCATAGCAGGAGTTCACAATAATAAGCAAAGCTAGAGGTAATCACAGCGGGCAAGTGAGGAGGAGGAGGAACTGTGGAAGGAGAGAAGATGGGAGGCAACGACTGAAGCTGCAGAGGCACGGGCACAGGAGCGGCTGACTCAGTGGCTACCGAAGCAAGGGCGACGGACTACTGGAGTGACTGGCTCCGCGGCTAAGACGAGCGGCAGGAGCAACGGACCCACTGGCGACTGGTGCAACAGGCTCACTGGCTACCGAAGCAAGGGCGACGGACTACATGCGCTACAGGCGACACGACAGCTACCTCCACACAACCTCCTCCAACTGACCCACACCCTTGACACACACCCCCTGCTGAACCCCTAACTCCACTCCCACGTCACCCCCCTAGCGCCATTCCCCTCGGCTCCCACACCTCCACCCCCCTCAGCAGTAGCTGCAGTAGTGGGAGACGAACAAGGAGGTGGGGAGAGGGAAGGGGAGTACCCACACCGCGCACCCCCATGCTCGCTACCCCACAGCCCCCACCACCGCAGAACGCACGGCGGCACGGGAGGAATGGGCAGCACGGGGGGGGGGGGGACGGTACAGGAGGGGCCGCGCGTCTCTCCTCAGGGCGCCAAAACGGATGGGCGGGGGGGCGCGCGCGGCTCCCCAGGGTGCCGCGACGGATGGGCGGGGGGCGCGCGCGGCTCCCCAGGGCGCCGCGACGAGCAGGGCAGGGGCCGCGCGCGGGTCCCCAAGGCCGCGCGACGGGAAGACGGGCCGCGCGCGGCCTGCAGGCCCGCGCACGGCCTGCAGGGCGACGCGACGGGAAGGGCGGGGGGCTGCGCGCGGGTCCCCCACGGTAGGAAACCGCCGCGCGCCTCGGGGCGCACGGCGGGCAGAAAACCCTAAATAGAAAACCCCACGGCAGGAAGAAGGCGTCGCACGCCACGGGGCGTGCAACACACAGAGTAGCAGCGGAAGCAGTTAGGTGGTGGGCCCACCCACAGGATCGACCCAAGGGGGTCGACCTGCTATGAAACCATGTCAGAAGTAGCAATACAAAGTTTAGAAACAGAAAAGAGAGAGGTTTCACTAGCAGCAGTTGGGATACATATAGCAAACTTTAACTGGGTTGTACCCGCTATAGAGCACCCCACTACAGGCTAGATAATAACATTCTGACAAGAGCGTATCGTCAACTCCACTTGCCCTATTGAATCATTCATTCACACTCTATGATACACCGGTTTCAACCTCTACACTCCGTGATACACCGGTTTCCGTTTTCCTGCGAATGCAGCCAACCCTTCAAGTCTGTCTCTTGATCTCAAAACGCCTTGATAGCACTTCTCCTCTACTTGAAGACCACCTTTCATATCCACATCTCGGCCTTTGTTGATTGCCTCTTTAGCGAGTTGAACAGCGAGAGGCCCCTGCAGTGGCAAGCGCACGCAAATACGGTAAGAAATGGGCAGAAAAGAGGTGCAGGGAATTTGGTGCACGTACGATGAGGTTTGCCCTTGATTCAGTTAAAGACAACCAGAACATTGTAGCAAAACAGTCGTGCCACTTGCAGATATATACGAATGGTGTGCACGTGAAGCTGTAAGAGAAGTCATTAGCAGCCTTGCAGATTCGACCCATCTAGGTTGTGAACGCATGAATGGACTCACATTGCGACGTCTCAAAACTCACATTGCGACGTCTCAAAACTCACATTGCGACGTCTCAAAACTCACATTGCGACGTCTCAAAACTCACATTGCACAGGATGGTTCTGGCGATTTCAAGGGCAGTGTCATATGCAGTTCCTGCAGGCACACAGTGGCTCACAATGCCTGTATGCATGCATGCAGGTCCACATGCAAATACACATATACATGCATGCAGGTCCACATGCAAATACACATATGCATGCATGCAGGTGCACATGCATAGATACACATATGCATGCATGTAGGTGCACGTGCACTCATGGGCACACACACAGAAACATGGGCAAAGAACATGTCTGCAACTCCTTGTTCATGATGGGTTTCTGAGTCGACTCTAGTTTTGAGACGCCTAAAAACTACACACAGGAACGTGAGCGAAACAACAGTACCGTCTGCAACTCCTTGTTCATGTTTGGCTAGCGACTTTTGAGCCGCCTAAAGAACCAGCACACACAGAAACACGAGCAAGAAATATGGTCTGCAACTTTTGAGGCGCCTCAAGAAATATGGTATGCAACTTTTGAGGTGCTGCAAGAAATATGGTAAGCAATTCCTTGTTCCTGTTTGGTTGGCGTCCACTTTCATAGGAGCCTTAGAGAATGGGATCTCATTGTGTTTTTCTCGAGATAGGTACCTTGACATTCTTTCAGGAGCCTTTGCTCTCAGTGCTACTTCAAGATGACACCTTGCTTACACAACAGTCAATGCCCGCGCTCCTCTCACTGACCCACCCCACGCACCCTTCCTTCTTCTCCTCCCCACCTCGCCTTTGATTCTCACCAAGGGAGAGTGCCTCATCAGCACGCACAACACGAGCCATGAAAATCAGCTCCTTAACTCGACACACCCTGAACTCTCCTTGCTCTCACACCACCTCAAGGTGACACCTTGCTTACACTAACCTAACCCTTTCCTCTCACCAAGGGAGAGTGCCCCATCAGCATGCACGACCCGAGCCGTGAAAATCAGCTCCTTGGCTCGAGATGCTCTCAACAACCCTTGCACTTACAGGGGGACTGCCCACACTAGCCCATCACCCCCCTCACCCTTCCCTCTCACCAAGAGAGAGTGCCTCATCGGCTCGCACAATCCGAGCTGTGAATATCAGCTCCTTGGCTCGAGATGCTCTGAGCACCCCTTGCACTCAGGGAAGGGGCTGCACTCACCACAATCGCCCACCCCACTCTATGTTCCCTCTCACCAAGAGAGAGTGCCTCATCGGCTCGCACAATCCGAGCCGTGAATATCAGCTCCTTGGCTCGAGATGCTCCGATCAGACGTGGTAACCGCTGCGTGCCTCCCGCGCTGCATTGATTATTTGGAGGTAAGGGATGGGCGGAGATGGTATGGGAGGAGATGGATGGGGGGAGATGGGATGGGAAGAGATGGAGGGGAGGAGATGGGATGAGATTAGAGGGAGCATGGACCATACAGTGGGAAGAGCCACTACAAAATAAGGCCGCTGTCTGTCACTATCAAATGAATTTGAGGCAACTCAAGATGTGAGCTACTAGGAGCGACTAGCCATGCAGGAGATAAAACTCCCAAGATTTTTCCTGCTAAAGTGAGCTAAAAGGACCGCCTGGTAACCAAATAGGTAATTCTCTCTCTTGAGAATTCTCTGGGTAATTTTGTTTAAAAAAATGCCTCGTTCTTTAGAGAATACGAGGCATTCCTTAGAGTAATTTGAGTGCCTAGCGTCATTTTTTAGAACTCTCAACACTGAAGCGATAACCAGAAGTGTCCTTGGAATGTCAATACCAATGCTGGGAGTCAATTTGGCTCTCAGTTGTTTTGAGCAGAGAGGAGATCTGTAGTGGTGCTGAAACCACTCTCGAGTGATGATCCCATGCATTCACCCAAGAGAGATGTGATAAAAATGAACCTTTGAGACGCCTAAAAAGTCTCAAGTGTTCACCCAGGAGCGATGTGATAAAAGTGAATGTTTGAGACGCCTCCATGATCTCATGTGGTCACCCAAGAGCGATGGCGAACGATATGTTTCTGGAAAACGACAGCACTCACCTTTTGAGTCGACTCAGAGGCAGCAAAGACGAGAGTGGCACAATGCACTCACCCGGGAATGATAGCGAGTGATGTCTCTGGCAGGCCAAACCGGGCGTTGAAGCCTGCGAGAGCACAGGGGGGGATGGGAGAGGAGAAGGGGGAATGGGACAAGAGAGGCGAAGATGAGAGGAAGGATAGCCTAAAGACAACCATTCACCCAAGAGCTATGGCCTGGCCAGTGAGGTATTTGGCAGGCAGCATCAATGCATACAATGTTACATTGTTTGTCAATATCAAAGAGTGGCGATTGCAACTGCTGTACCTGCCTCTGCCGTACCTGCCTTTGCCATACCTACCTGCCTCTGCCGTACCTACCTGCCTCTGCCATACCTACCTGCCTCTGCCGTACCTACCTGCCTCGGCCATACCTACCTGCCTCTGCCATACCTACCTGCCTCTGCCGAACCTACCTGCCTCTGCCGTACCTACCTGCCTCTGCCATACCTACCTGCCACTCGAATGTCACAAGCCAGTAACATTTCAAGTCCCCCCCCCAGGGCTGCTCCCTCCACTGCTGCCACTGTTGGTACAGGTAGGTCCTGAGGCGAAAGTATTGGGAAGGAGAATAGGAAAACAAGGGGCATGAATGAAGAGAGGACGGAATGAGAGCATGGAAATTAAGAATTGGATCTTTGTCGAAGGGGGTAAGCACCAACTGTCGAACGGGTCAGTGGGGTGGGGTGGAGTGGAAGCATGCGTTGTCACCACCGCCTGCAGTATGATCAAGCCCCTTCTCGAGGTCAGTGAACTCTCCTCGGAGACTGATGAACATTGCTTCTGCTTCTTCCCGGTTCATTCCCCTCCACTGTTGGCGTTCACGTCAGGGTCGACAGCTGTGTTATGATGAACATTCTGTATTCCCACAGAATCATGGCACTGTCCCATTTACATGTGGGTGTTTGGTCTAGTGGTGTGATTCTCGCTTAGGACGCGTTGAAAGTACAAATATCGCGGGATCGCGAGCATAAATCGAGCCCCACAATCGAGTGGGAAGATCGATTGGCGAAACATGAAGACCGATACGTCGTAACGATCGCACCTGAGCTTTGAGGTGGATGTTCCAGGGCCGAGATTACTGCCATGCATGCGACTCGCACCCAAAACACATACGTCGTCCATACCCACCTGCGACACTCGCAGCCAACAGGGCAACCACCCTGGCGATGTGACGTTTACGGATTTCGCCAAATGTAGACAATTTGGGCGACAAGGATTCCAGGCTCTACGAAATTTCAGAAAGTCGCAGGCATCAGAATCAATCGCGCCAGGTAGGCTTGGTTCGAGAGCATTAATGACGCTTTGATGCCTCTCACTGATCTCCCGCGATCAGTGATCAGTCGCATTCACACACTGGGCACAAATTTTGGCCAAAAACCATACTGTAGCAAGGTTTCAGCACAGTAAATAGGGTTACAGATCCGCACATCGATCGCCACCCATGATCGATCGTCTACTTTCAACGCGTCCTTAGGGTGCGAGAAGTCCTGAGTTCAATTCTCGGAACACCCCTTTTTCCACTTGTTAGTCTAATTGGATATAAAGTTGTGACTTCCTCAGTACAACCATGAAAATTCCTGCAGGCACTCATCACTGCGTGCACACTTCTGCTGCTGCACAAGCTTTCCTTCCGTAAGTGGATAGCTCACTGCATGCTTGCCATGAATGATAAACATAAATTGCATGCAGCATGAACATTGACAACATGAATGCAGCACGGACTTTCACCGCACGTAGCATAATCATTCCCCCCATACAGCATCATCATTCCACACATACAGCATGAAAATTCACCTCACCTCCTCATGCAGCACTAAGACTCACCAAACACATGAGCATTCACCTCGAGATCAGTGAACGCTCCCCTGAGACTGCTGACAAACTCTTCTGCCTCTTCCTGTGTCATGCCCTTGCGCTCCTGGTGATGGGTTCAAGGTTAAAGAGTAACTAATAAATCTGACTGCCATAGTATGTGTAGGGGTTTGGTGTAGTGGTATGATTCTCGCTCAGGGTGCGAGAGGTCCCGAGTTCAATTCTCGGAACACCCCTTTAGCCATTTTTCCGCTTATCACGTGGAGCAGATATTTTTTTGCTACATCCACTTCGCACACCTGGAACTAGTGCACACTCACACGACCTAGAAAATAGACAGCGTCATACCCATTATAATCAAATACAACTCTCAGATACCCCATGTGTACATACCTGCACCACCTTTGGTTTTATTCACCCTCCATACACTCACAAAACGTACCTTGAGGTCTGCCCCCGCGCAGAACACTCCATCCACTGCGCTCCTTATAATCACAACTCGCACCGCTGCAGTCGCCTGCTCCTGCGCCCCCTCCGCTCTCCCTGCTTCCGCGCCCTTCCCTGCTCCTGCCATTCCCCCTGCTCCCTCCATTCCCCACGTTCCTCCGCCTCCCTTTACTTGCGCCATGGCATTCATCAGATCTGCCAGCAGCTGTTTGCTGATGGCGTTGCGGGCCACAGGGCGGTTGAGAGTTAACACAGCGATGCCTGGAGGGAGAAAAAGAGCGGGAGGATGGGGAGGGGAGGGCACAGGGAGGCAGGGATGCAAGCGCTTAGTCAGCAACTGCTCCCCCCACCCCCACCTCACCCCGGCCCCCCAGCTCCCTGCACCTTCCCCATTGCACGCATCAGGTCTGCCAACAGCTGTTTGCTGATGGCGTTGCGGGCTGCAGGGCGGTTGAGAGTCACCACAGCGATGCCTGGAGGAAAGGCAGAGTGGGAGGATGGGAGGACGGAGTGCAAACGGGGAGAGTAACAGGATATGGAAAGCAGCAAGGATGTGTGAGCCTGAGAACGTGTTTTTTGTTGTTGTTTCAATTTTTTTTTTTAGATTCCTGAAAACTTCCCGCCATGGCATCCATGCGATCTTTCAGCAGCTGTTTGCTGATGGCGTTGCGGGACGCAGGGCGGTTGATTCAGCACAGCGATGCCTGGAGGGAGGCAAGAGTGGGGAAGTTGGGAAGGTGGGTTGGCATAAGTGTGGGTGAGCGGGTGGGTGGGAGGGGAGGGAGGATTATGAGGAACGAGGAGGGGAGCATCAGATAAGGCATCAGCTGTTTACAGATGGCGCTGCGGGCTGCTGGGGCAATCTAGAGCTATTTATGTCGTTTTTAACAAACAAAAAGGTTGAAAATAAAATAAAAATAAAATAGAAGAATCGTAGCACGCACCCTCATCGTCCCCTGTGAGGTGATCCAGCCGCACCAATTGGGCACCGCCACCTGGAACCACCACCGAAGATGTCTCCACGGAGTACCCCCTCCTCGGCTGCCACGTGGCAGGAAGCGCATCGGCGAAACCAGACGCGGCGAAAGAGCTGGGCGACGCGGTAACCGAAGGTGCAGGACACGTGGCACTGATTGTAGAAACTCGGGAAGGACAAGACGAGGCCCCCGTTGAGCGAGCTGACGTGGCAACGTGAAGTAGCGAACTTCGCAGAGCCGGGAGATCCTCTCTATAATCACTGCGCCGCTGTGCACCAGGAGATAATATCGAAGGAGGCGAGTGAGCCACGCGGAAAACTGACACTGCTAGCGATGCCACGAGCGTGGAGGGTGATAATAACGAAGTTGACAACGCGGCAGGGGAAGGGATTAGTCCCTGAGCCGCGCGAGCGGCGGCGGAGGAGTGGGCCATGCGGATAAAGGAGGAATTTCCGAATTTGTTCGTAAACGGAAGTAAATGTGGAGAAAAAACATACGGGGGAACTTCAAATTGACTCAAAAGTCCAAGAGTTCGCCGAGAAAGTGAGACTATTATTATAACCTCAGCAAGGAGGTGCGAACTGCACGGGATAAAACACAGCTGGACGAATCTACGTCGAGCGGGACGCACGCACGGCGGAGACGAACGGAAAGCGCTTACCGCAGGACAGGCTGTGCTGGATAGTTCCGGGCGGAAATGCTAGGTATGCGAGCGGCCATAAGCTTTTTCTGCGTGTGTAGCTAGGAATAGCTGCTGAGGTGATGCCACTAGGTAGGACAATGACGGACGGAATAACGGGGCTGAATGAAGCCAAAACGGCTTGGACTAACTTTAATACGGTCAAGAAAGATGTGCTGCGTTTCCATCTCTTCTGGTGCTCATATGAAAAGGTTGAGTGGTTTTTGAGGTAGTTACGAAATCTACATGCATTTGACCCTCGATTCACGGTTGGTGATAGTTAAGGTGGCATGTGACTGAATGACAGTCGATGACCGTCATTCTTCTGTTCGGCTGAGGCAGCATGACGTGTGCAGGGATGTCAACAGCGCGGACTGATGTCAGGCGATACAAATGTAACCCAGCCCAACGAATTGCCAGTTTTCCTTCGCCAGATTCTCGTCATTGTACATCGCTACTCGAAATTTTGGCCCTATACACGCAAATAGTATACGGGCGACGTCAGGTTGTACAGCTTTTTATACGCCGACTACGGTAACTTCGTTTCAACACGGTGCAGAACCGCTATACACCGTGTTAGACCGTCCTGAACCACGATTCAACAACTGTAAACCCATGAGAAATGTATAACCTGACGTCGCCCTAAGCTATAGATTCAAAGGGGTTAGTTACAGTAACCTATCCTTCGCGACATCAGAGGCGAGTGGCTTTCGCACAAACGGTGCCCCATATTTCTGTCAGACGCCAGCCTCCCGCGCTGCTTTGCTTCACTTTCCATCTTCCCGCCATTTATTGGAAAATTGCTTCGCTGAGTGTGCCGCGCTGCGCTGTCTCTAACCCTCCTGCTTGCTCGAACGAAGCAGTTAAGTCCGATCTTTATAAAATCAGTGAGCCTATTTTCCAGGCAACGGAGCTAGTCGAAATAAAGGATTCGCGTCGCTAGGGTTTCGCGTTGGTCGAGGCTGGGCGGGGACGATGGCGAATAAGGGAGCAAAGAAGCGGAAGGAGGAGAACGAGAAGCATCTGAACCGGTTGCAGAAGCTCATCGTGACCGTCAATGTGCGTTGGATTGAGCCATTGCGTGCCGTTGATCCAGAATTCCCGTCCGTCCATGTCTGTTCATTTATTTTTAGGTGCCAGCTATGTGTACCGTCTGCACCGTCTTCGTTCGTTCCCATCTCTCATTGATGGAGATGGGCCGTCGTCCAAGTTTAATAACGCTGCAATTCCTACTCATCTCCGCATCATTGCCAAAGTTTTAGTTCCTGGATCAGTCGACTTACATCTTTTTGCGTCACCCATTCGTCATCGCGCTTATCCATGAGAATTTTCCTCTGTTTTTTGCTGCCGAAACTTTCCTCTTCTTCGTTGTATATTCTTTCCAGCCAGGCAATCTGAGCCTTCTCAAAAGTCGCATCTTTTTCGTTCTGCATATTCTTTTCATCCAGGCGATTAACATCCTCGTGCGTCACTCGCTCTTCACCTTTGCTTTTTCTTTATCGTCTTCTCTTCGCCGCTTTCGCCACTTTCGCGCTACGCGAATCCCATACGTAACCAGGCGATTTACATCCTCGTGCGACTCTCGCTCTTCTTTGCCTCCTTCACCTGGCGCCACTGGATCGGCCTCGTTATAACCACATTCGCGTACAAGACGTGCTTCGACCAGATCGCGTCGCTGGCGGAGGCCACGTACGACGAGACGGGACAGCTGATCGACGGGGGCAGTGATCTTAATATGGGCGGTCTATGCGGGTAGGTGGGTGGTGCGAGGGGTTAGAAGAGCTGTCTGGTGAAGGTGGGACTGGTGCAGGTTGGATCGCGTCGCTGGCCGAAGCCACGTACGACGAGACGGGGCAGCTCATCGACGGGAGCAACCTCGACATGGGCGGCCTGTGCTGGTGGGTGGGTGAGGTGAGAAGGTTAAATTAGGAAGGTGGGAGTGGTTAAGGTGGGAGTAGGACTATTGATGGCTGCTGCGACCTCAACATGAGAGGGCCATGCGAGTGGTGTGGTGCAGGTGGTACCGGCTTCCATACGTCATGCATTTGTATAGACTGACTCAATATTGGAGGGTTGTAGAGTGGTTGAGTGAGATGGGCATGTGCAGGTGAGAGTGGTGCGTGCATTCATCCATCCACCCACCCATCATCCATCCGTCCATCCGTCCGTCCGTCCATCCATCCATCCATCCATCCATCCATCCATCCATCCATCCATCCATCCATCCATCCATCCATCCATCCATCCATCCATCCATCCATCCATCCATCCATCCATCCATCCATCCATCCATCCATCCATCCATCCATCCATCCCATTCCACCCCACCACATCCCATCCCTTCATCCCATCCCCCCAATCCTTCCATTTAGTCCAAATCTCATGTCCCCTAGCGTATCATCAGCATATCATCTGTTTCGTCTATCATCTTCCCCTCTCCCTAACCCCCCCCCCCCCCCCCCCTCTTTTCTCCCTCTTCCCCTTCTCCCCTCTATGTACTCACTTCCTTCGTCTCACGTCGTGATCTCTCCTCCCTCCTCCTCTCCCTTCCTCCATCTGTGCAGCTACCTGCATGACGTCATATACATCACCGCCTTCAGGTCTTCCCTGTATCCTCCCATCCGCACCCCACTGCCCCCTATTTCCCCGTCCCACCGTGCAGCTATCTGCATGACATCATATACATCACCGAATTTGCCCCGATCTCATGTGTCTCCCGCCCCGTTCCCTTCCCCCCCTCCCTCTGTGCAGCTACCTGCATGACATCATATACATCACTGCCTTCGTTCAGATCGCCTCCATTCTCTCCGACTGGTTCTGGCTCTTCTACCTCATTGTATGCTCGCCATACCATACCATACCATACCATACCATACCATACCATACCATACCATACCATACCATACCATACCATACCATACCATACCGTACCGTACCGTACCATACCGTACCATTCCGTACCATGCAATGCCATGCCATGCCATGCCATGCCATGCCATGCCATGCCATGCCATACCATGCCATACCATGCCACACCAACCATACCATGCCACATCATGCCATACCATGCCACACCATGCCATACCATGCCATACCATACCATATCATGCCATTCCATGCCATGCCATACCGTGCCATGCCATGCGCATGCAATGAAATGCCTCGCCTTGCCTGGCCGTTGAGCATTGTTCCTCAGCAATGAGAGCTTGTGCTCTCCCCTTACCCTTTTCCGGAACCTCACAGTTTTGCTACCTGATTCTCTTCATTCCGCCCTCTCCTTTCTTCCCTCTCAGGTCCCGGCCTTTGCCTTGTGGAAGCTATGGGAGCTCGTGCTCCGCCCCTACTTCTTACCTGAATCTCACAGTTATGTTCTGTTGCCCCCCCCCCCCCTTTTTTTGTTCTCTCTTCCCTCTCAGATTCCGGCCTTTGCCTTATGGAAACTATGGGAGCTCGTGCTCTTTAGCTAGTGTTTGTAACAGCTGAAAGTTTGCGTTTGCAACTTGTGTTTACTCCCCCCTCCCCTTCGCTTCCTTCTCAGATCCCGGCCTTTGCCTTATGGAAGCTATGGGAACTCGTGCTCTATCCCTACTTCTTCCAAAAAGTTGAACCTGTGAGTGCTTGTCTGCCTGCCTGCCCTCCCTGAACAAACTCTATGATGACCTCTGCAAGTCTTGAGGTGGAACCTCGAAATTGGTTTTGGTTCCCTTACCTTGTGTTGGGGTTGTGACTTGTGAGGCATTTAGAAGAGATATGTGATTACGCTGACCGTTCAGACCGGTGTTGTTGGCTTTGTCGTTTGCTTGCTTGTTCTTCCTTGTTTGGTTACTCTTTTTTAATTATGCAGGGAGAGGAAGACCCGAGAGAGAAAAAGAAGCGGGAGAAGATGGAGCGCAAGGCAGACAGGGCTGCACGGTTATCCAACAGACGGTGACCTGATGTGACATGACGTGACATCATCATAGGACACTATGTTTGAGGCGCCTCGAAAAAGAACCCGAGAGAGAAGAAGTAGCGGGAGAAGATGGAGCGCAAGGCAGACCGGGCTGCACGGTTATCCAACAGACGGTGACATGATGTGACATCAACGTAGGACACTATATTTGAGGTGCCTCAACAAAATACCCGGGGGAGAAGAAGAAGCGGGAGAAGATGGAGCGCAAGGCAGACCGGGCTGCACGGTTATCCAACAGACGGTGACATCAACGTAGGACACCTATTTGCATGCTTTTTCTTATTTACTCAATATGCTACATGGCTAAAATGCACCTTACCATCAGTGCTCCTGACATGTACTCTGATCGAGTTGCTTCACCCTAAACCAAGTTATTAACCAAAATGCTGTGACTGTACTCCCTTTTAGCAACAATATAGGTACATGTATTGTTAATCTATACAGGTAGAGGATGGAGACATGACTAAGCCACTGGATCAAAGTGATCTAGGGTAGACGTGAAGCCATGCCTATGATTTGCAGCATCCCCATTGAAGTGAGGCATTATGCTGACACATGGTTATGCGTTCCACATATTCCTCTGCGGAACAAAATAGGTTCTGCTGAGCAGGACACCCCTCTGGGCCCTGGCCCCTCTTCCCACCCCCACTCGCATCACATGGTGCCTAATAAGACTATTGGCAGACATGTTATACAGTAATAAATAAGGTACTGTAGCTTTATTTTGAAACAGAGCAAGCCAAGCAAAGCCAACCAACCACGGTATTAGGTGCTGCACGCCCAAAGTTCACACGTCCACCCTCTCGTCTTCTCTTGGAACAGAATACGGCCTGCCATGCAAGCACTCCCCTTGAGCTTTCCTCCAACTCCCACCCACACTCCCTCCCCCCAATTCCTCCCCTTCACCATCTGACACCCCACTTCTCCCCCCCATATCCCCCATTTCAATCCCTATTTCTGCTCCCCTGCCTCTCCCCCTCTCCCTCCTCTCCCTCTCATCCTCCTCGTCTTCCTCCTCGTCACTGCTCCCAATGAAAGCAGTGGCTTCGGCCAGTTGCTGTTTCTCCAAGGTGCTGAGCGGTTGGGAGGGGTCCTTGCGGTTGAAGGGCCAGATGCGGCGCTCTATGCAGCAGGAGAGGAGGGCAGCAGTGCAGCTGATGGCCGCTGCTGCTGCCAGGAAGATGAGGAACGGGAGCAGAGGATACCAGGAGTCGCCTTGTAAAAGGGCTGAAGATAGGGAGATGGGAGGGGGGCGGGGAGGGAAGGAAGGGAACGGAGGGAAGGGAGGGAGGAGAGAATGATTGTTCTGGATGAACGCAGTGGCTTTGGCCTGTTGCTGTCTCTGCGGTTGGGAGAGGTCCCTGCGGTTGAAGGGCCAGATGCGGCAGGGCAGGAGACTTTTGAGATGTCTCATACGCTGATTGGGAGGGGTCCCTGTGGTGAAAGGGCCAGATGCGGCGCTCTATGCAGCAGGAGAGGAGGGCAGCAGTGCAGCTGATGGCTGCTGCTGCTGCCAGGAAGATGAGGAACGGGAGAAGGGGGTACCAGGAGTCGCCTTGTAAGAGAGCTGGAGGGAAGGGGGAGAAGGGAGAAGCAAAGGGAGAATAGGGGGAAGGAGGAGATTATCGAGGTGAGGAGGGCAGCAGCGCAGCTGATGGCCGCTGCTGCTGCGAGGAAGATGAGGAATGGGAGCAACGGATACCAGGAGTCTCCTTGTAAGAGAGCTGGGGGAAGGAAAGGAAGGTAAGGGGAGAAGAGGGCGGGAAGAGGGGTGAGGGGTGCGCATATCAATACAGCTGATGGCCGCTGCTGCTGCGAGGAAGATGAGGAATGGGAGAAGGGGGTACCAGGAGTCACCTTGTAAGAGAGCTGGGAGAGGGAGAGAGGGAAGGGGAGAAAATGGTAGGGAGGGAAAGGAGGGGAAACGATATGTTCCTGATGAAGGTGGTGGCTTGGGCCAGTTGGTGGTTCTCCAAGGTGCTGTGCGGTGGGTGGGAGGCCGCAGGGGCAGTGCTCTATGCAGCAGGAGAAGAGGGCAGCAGTGCAGCTGATGGCTGCCGCTGCTGCTGCTGCTGCTGCTGCTGCTGCTGCGAGGAAGAAGAGGAATGGGAGCAGCGGGTACCAGGAGTCGCCTTGTAGGAGAGCTGGGGGAAGGAAGGAAGGTAAGGGGAGAAGAGGGCGGGAAGAGGGGTGAGATGAGGTGGGGTGAGCATATGGCTGCTGCTGCTGTGATTAAGATGAGGAACGGGAGAAGGGGGTACCGGGAGTCGCCTTGTAAGAGAGTTGGGGGGAGGGGAACGGAGGGAGAAAAGTAGGGGAGAAGTAGGAGGAAGGAGGGTGAACCTGGGAGTACAGTAGATGGATGCTGCTGCTGACAAGAAAATGAGGTAGGGGAGCAGCGGATATCAGGAGCAGGGGAAAAAGGGGGAGGGAAAAGGGGACTACCGGGTGTTGAGGCAATCAGGCCAATTCATTGCCTTTGAGAATTCTCAAAAGTGATTCCTTAGCCTCCCCATCCACCCATGAGTAGCGCTTCGGGCCTCCACCAGAGTTTCCTCTGGCTTCGCCCTGCTCAGGCAACGCATTGCGTCACATGGCCCCGCTTGCTGCTGTGGATAGGGCATCCCCTACTTCATAAAGCAGAGAAGCACAAACCTGTAGCAAGCATAAGGCAACCACCCAGTGCGCTTCTATAGCACGCCTGATACGCACCTTCCACAGGCGAGTGGTCGTGGCTGTTGAGGCAGTCCGGGCAGCTCAATGCGACCTTGAATTCCCGATCCACCCACCGCGCCAAATGCCCCTCCTTGCTGCAGTCAGTGCATCCCTATATGCTCGTGGATATTATATGCTTACACCTGTAAGCCACGTACCTTCCACAGGCGAGTGGTCGTGGCTGTTGAGGCAGTCCGGGCAGCTCATCGCGACCTTGAATTCCCCATCCACCCACCGCGTCAGATGCCCCTCCTTGGCGCCCCTGAAGTCATCCGCGCACAGCTGGAACTTGTCGAACGTGTCGTCAGCCTTGAATGTATCGGCTTCGTATAACCCGCAGGTCTTGCACTGGGCAGAGGCGAGCTCGACAAGGGGCTGAGCGGGGTTAGGTGGAAAAGAAAAGGCAGGTGAAAACTAGTGAGTCATCAGCCCCTGAAGTCATCCGCACACTGCTGGAACTTGTGGAATGTGTTGTCGGCTTTGAACGTGTCTGCTTCGTACAGTCCGCAGGTCTTGCACTGGGCAGATGCGAGCTCGACCAAGGGCTGTGGTTGGGTGGGAGGGAGGGAGGGAGGGAGGGAGGGGGGGAGGGAGGGAGGGAGGGAGGGAGGGAGGGAGGGAGGGAGGGAGGGAGGGAGGGGGGGAGGGAGGGAGGGAGGGAGGGAGGGAGGGAGGGAGGGAGGGAGGGAGGGAGGGAGGGAGGGAGGGAGGGAGGAGGGAGGGAGGGAGGGAGGGGGAGGGAGGGAGGGAGGGAGGGAGGGAGGGAGGGAGGGAGGGAGGGAGGGAGGGAGGGAGGGAGGGAGGGAGGGAGGGAGGGAGGGAGGGAGGGAGGGAGGGAGGGAGGGAGGGAGGGGGAGGGAGGGAGGGAGGGAGGGAGGGAGGGAGGGAGGGAGGGAGGGAGGGAGGGAGGGAGGGAGGGAGGGAGGGAGGGAGAGACGAAAGTCATCCGCGCACAGCTGGAACTTGTCGAATGTGTCGTCGGCTTTTAAACGTGTCGGCCTCGTATAACCCGCATGTCTTGCACTGGGCAGAAGCCAGCTCGACCAAAGGCTGTGGTGGGAATGAAGATGGAAAGGGAGGGAGGGCGAGATGGTGAGTAAGCTGATTCAGCCGCCCCTGAAGTCATCTGCACACAGCTGGAACTTGTCGAATGTGTCGTCCACTTTGAACGTGGCGGGCAACAAGGAAGGTGAGATTAGCCTGCACCACTCCCTGCAGCACGTGCTTCATCTCCCCCTCTCACTGGAAATACACGAAGGAACCTCAAGCCACCTGAAACCCACCTGAAGCCCACCTGAAAATCCTCCTGGCTGGTGAAATTGTACGTGAGATTAGCCTGCACCACGCCCTGCAGCACGTGTTTCATCTCCCCCTCGCACTGGAAGTAGACGGAGGGCTCCCAGGGCGAGTAGGGCGAGTCGTGTGTCGTGTCGAGGCGCAGATGCGTTATAGTCACGTTGGCGGCTGCATGTGAGTAGAGTGGGGAGGGAGAGAGAGGAGGGTTGGTGGGGTTAGGGGTTAGGGTAAGGGTAGGTTACGGGGGTTGCTGCATCCCCCCGTGGCACTGGAATGGAAGTACACGGAGGGCTCCCATGGCGAGCAGGGCGATTCGTGTGTCGTGTCGAGGCGGAGGTGGGTTATGGTCACGTTGACGGCTGCACAGGGGGACGTTGTAAACAAGGCCAGGAGGAAGGGGAGATGCGCTGAAAGCAGTTTGAAGGCTCGCAGGGCGAGTAGGGAGAGTAGTGTGCCGTGTTGGGCGCAGGTGTGTTATGGTCACGTTGGCCGCTAAATGCGGGTAGAGTGGGGGGGAGAGAGAGAGAGGGGGAGGGGGGGAGTGGGGAGGCGAGAAGAGGACGGGGTGGTACGTGGGGGTGAAGGGAGGTTGCATTTGAAGGAGGGAGGAGGAAGAAGGGGGGCCTGGGCGAGTAGGGCGTGTCCAGCACAGGTGCGTTGTGGTCACGTGGGCCGCACGTGGGTAGAGTGGGGAGGGAAGAAGAGAGGGGAGAGTAGAGAATAGGGCGAATCGAGTCCAGCTCAGGTGCGTCATGGTCACGTGGGCCGCACGTGGGAAGAGTGGGGAGGAGAGAAGAGAGCGAAGAGTGGAGAGGAGAGAATAGGGCGAGACGAGAATCGAGTCCAGCTCAGGTGTGTCATGGTCACGTGGGCCGCACGTGGGAAGAGAGGCGGGAGGGGGACGAAAGCGATCGCCTTTAAGTTTGCTCAGAAGTCGAATCTGAGAGGAGATGGACGACAGTCGCGTTTTGCAGCAGGATATGGGAAAGGAGGGAGCGTGTGTCAGAAACTATCAGGAAGAGGTGAAAGCGAGGAAGTATCCTGTCATGGGAATCGATCTCCTAACACCACTCGAGGTCCACGAAATCAAGTCGCTTGACGGTAGCGACGAATGCGACGCACCTCTCGCGACGGTTGCGACGAATGCGACGCACCTCTCGCGACGGTTGCGACGAATGCGAGAACCATTGACGAGACCGCGACGCGCAAGAGCGACCATTCTAAGCATCGTGGCCGCTCCATAATCAAGACTTGTCGGCTGCGGCGTAATGGAGGAAATAATATGTTAATACGAAGGATTTGCGATTCCTGCTATTCACGCTGGCAGATGGCGATCCGTCGTGGCTTGGTTTAGAACCAATTACGGAGCAATCTTTACATTCATTGACCGCCCCCGGAATCACCGGAGCGAATCTCGATGGATCCTAGGTTTTGCAAGAGCTGAAGTATTTGTGTGTGTATTCCGCTTGAGAGATACGAACCTCAGGGAGGATTCCGGCATTGACGTCGAGTTGCAAGCAGACCTTGATTTCGAGGATGGTTTGACCTCAGGGAAAATTCAAGAGCCGAGCCTCAAGCCTAATGCTGACACAGCATCCTAGAACGTGGAACGTCTCAGATCGACGGTGATCTTTCGCCCTCCGTTTCGCTTTCGTGTCCGGGTGTATCTTGGAATCACGATTCACGATCATCGGAACGAATCTGTTCCTCAAATGCAACAAATGACGTTATCCTTCTGAAACAAAGCCATACAGGTCTGGGACGATTGTTACGAGTGGTAACCATCTCTAGCTCATATTCCAGGATCCCCCAGATGAGGCGCCCGAGAAGCGGAAATGCATGCAACGTCTGCATGATGCGGCAAGACTTCGGCTGCTCAAAAAGCTACCAAACCGAAGTTTGTTGTGCGACACACCCACACACGGTCAGCCCTCCATGCCATGCCAAACCAGGGTGGACCCAAACGCAACGCAACCCCAAGTTACCAACGCGTTCGAGCGCCCAGATTCCGGTCACATACACAGAAAACCTCGAGATTCCCGCCGTCGCGAGGTGCCGCGAAAACTCAGCAGACACATGATTTACCAGGTCAGCCGCTGGGCGAAACTATAATCCACGAAAAACCAAGGGTGTGGCGAACGCCTAAACTCTTCGTCAACAATAATTATCTTACGCAGCCTTTGCGAGTGCCAGGGTGGTTCTGCTTGAGCTTTTCACAAACCTCCATCTTCGTTTCTTGATAACGCAAGCAGTACACACATCACGTACCAAGAATAGGCTGCTATTTTCCCAAGACAATGAACGTACACTTTGTTTTAAACGACGTCTCGTGTTCCATCGATCTTCCCCGCATATCATGCTCTACCGGACTCTTTGAACCTCACAAGGCATATTCTTATTTGTTCAGTGATATAACTAATGAAACCGATAGTGCAACCTTCTAGCCGTGCATGCTGTCGTCGTCTCAATTTGAAGTGAGCCGTTCAGACATGGAATGAGTCCTTATCTTGAGCTCACATGACCTTCCGGAGCGGCTCGTTCCGTTTAGATGCCATGTTGAGCTCTCATGAGCTCTCGGAGCGACTAGGTCTGTCTAGCTGCCATCATGGTTCAAACATGAACTGAACCTCTTTCTTAAGCTCGCATGGACGCCATAGCTTTCCATAGCGGCGGCTCGTCGGCGCGATCACAAAAAATCTCTAATCCGCGCGACCGCCGCTCGTTGTTTACCGAGCCGTTCTGGCGACAACAGCACCAGGAGCAGGAGCAACAGCAGCAGCAGCAGCAGCAGCAGGAGCAGCAGCAGGCGCGGTATGACCGAGAGCAGCAACGTTTGGAAGAGCGGCGCCATGAGCAGGAGGATCAAGAGCAGCGGGATCTTTATCAGCAGCATCTGGAATCGACGGCTGAGAAGCTGCGGAGGGAGTTGGAGGCAATGCTAGTCGCAGATGTAGACAGAGATGCGACGTTCCAGGTGAGACTGTAGACGAAAAGAATATGCTAATTGCGTGCAAACATCACCAAAAGAAGAAGAAAAGGAAAGCTCCTTCGTTTTTGTTTTCTTCTCCTTATAAAAAGGGGGGGCAATTTTTGTTGTAAAGGCCACTACTTTGTTCATTTACACTACGGCTGAGCTTTCTACTTTGCTATTCTTCCATCCGGGCGTGCCCCTTTTCTCCACTGACCCACTCATCCATGTTTCTTCTCCTCTGTTCCTACAATCACCGTTGCCACGTCAGCTCAAGCTCACGAGCAAGCTGGACCAATGGCACGCTTTTCATGAGAGAGCGACAAGAAGGCTTCCTGGTTTTGCGGATGGCCCTGGGCCTTCAACCATCCAACCCGCCAACGTCCACCCGCTGGAGGTTGACCAATCTGCTGATGCCACGTGTCCATCCGAGCAAGCAGCGTCTTTTCATGCGGCCGAAGTGCGTACAGCAGAAGCCGAGGCTCGGGCAGCAGAGGGTGTGGCGCGGGGAGCAGAGGGGGAAGCGCGGGCAGCATCGGGTGAAGCACGGGTGGCAAAGGGTGTAGCGCTAGCAGTAGCAGCAGCTTTTGAAACACGAGAGGCAAAAGCAGCGGAATTAGAGAATGCAGCAGTCGTTCCAAAACAGCTGGAAGCAGCAGCAGGTACTCGAGAAGCAGCATATGAAACGCGCGAGGCCAAAGCAGCAGATTCAGAGAATGCAACAGTCGCTCCAAAACAGCTGGACGCAGCAGCAGTTGCTCGAGAAGCAGCAGATTCAGAGAATGCAACAGTCGCACCTAAACAGCTGGAAGCAGCAGCAGATGCTCGGGAAGCTGCTCTGGAGGCAGCACTGCAGGTGCAACGAGAGGAGCTAGAGGCCAAGGCAGTAGTGATACAGGAGTTGCAGGTCAGATTACACGCAGCAGCAACCAGAGAGGCGGGCTATGAAGCGACTCTGAAGCTGCAGCGAGAGGAGCTTGAGGCGAAGGCTGCAGAGGTGATGGCGGCACGGGCAGCGGAAGTAGCAGATTTGCAGCAGCAGTTAGACGCTGCAATTTCTCGCGAGGCAGCTTTTGACGCGTCTTTGAAGCTGCAGCGAGAGGAGCTAGAGGCGAAGGCAGCAGAGATACAGGACCTGCAGGAGCGGTTACAGGAAGCGGGTATTAGAGAGGCAGCTTTTGATGCTTCCCTGAAGCTGCAGCGAGAGGAGTTAGAGGCGAAAGCAGCAGAGGCATTGGCAGCACAGGCAGGGATGGAGGAGAGGAAGCGCGTGAGGGCTGCAGAGGCGGCTGCTGCTCGGTTGGCGGAGGTGGAGGGGCGGTTAGGAGAGGTGGAGAGGGAGAGAGAGCGGTTGGCGAGGAATCTGGGCCGGCTGCAGCAACACCTGCTGGATCGGGTGGGTGGATGGTGGTGGGGACGGGTTGGGAGGGTGAGTGGAGGTAGTGGGGATTGTGATGAGAATAAACTGCGCATCTGTGTAAGGTAGCAGCTGTAAGACTCGTCAGCTGTAAGGCACTCACATCTCGTCAGCTGTAAGAATACTGCTGTGTGATAATCAAGCGTCAGCTGTAAGGTAGTTACAATTGTCTCCATTCCCGCCATTTGTGATGTGTTTCGGGATGCTGACGACTTTTGAGGCGCCTCAACAGTCATTCTCCTCTGTTGCGCTGTGTTTCAGAATGCTGACGACTTTTGAAACCATGGCACCTACTTGCTGCTCAATTGGTCCCCTCTGTTGCACTGTGTTTCAGGATGCTGACGAGGCGCTGCGTTTGGAACGAGAGGCAGAGAGGATCCGCCAGCTGGAGTGCCAGCTGGCGGATAAGGAAAAGGCTCTCGGCCAATCAGAGTGCGAGAGGGTCGTATTGGAGCGACAGCTGGCGGATAAGGCGAGCCAGCTCGGCCAATCGGAGCGGCGGAGGGTGCAGCTGGAGCAGCAGCTGGAGGAGAGGAGCAGGGAGGTTCGGGAGGCTCGGATGCAGCTGGCTCGGCTGCAGGCTCGGGCCGAGCCTGCTGGACAGACGACGCAGATGGGTTTGCGAGGAGAGGGTGGGGTTGTAAGGGCAGAGGAGAAGCAGGAGAGACAAGGCATGAGCAGAAAAGAGGCGTTACCAGATGTGGCACCAGGCTCGGCAACATGCTTGGGAACAGGCTTGGCAACAGGCACGGTACCAGGCGTGTTCCCGGATGTGTTACGGCAGGTGCTGGAAGCGGCTCATCGGCCAATCGTCGCGCGTCATCCCATGTGCATGCATGCTGGGATGCTGGCGAGCGTAAAACCCTTGTTGGATGGAGATTCGTCACATGCTGATGTGGCATCCCATCATGCATCAGGCGCAGGAGCAGGGGCAGGGATAGGGGCAGGAGCAGGGGTAGGAGCAGGGGTGGGAGCAGGGGTGGGAGCAGGAGCAGGAGCAGGAGCAGGAGCAGGGGCAGGGGCAGGGGCAGGATCAGGAGCAGGGGCATCAGTTGAAGATGCACGTGATGCAGATTGTTCAGAAGTTACAGCAGCATCAGGTTCAGATGCGGCAGATGCTGCAGCAGCATCGTTTGCCGATGCACGTGCTGCAGATGGCTTACAAGCTGCAGCAGCACCAGTTTCAGACGTGCCAGATGCGGCTGCAGCAGCACCAGCGTCCTCCACATCGCCTGTACAGTCAATCTCTGAAGAAGCGCCTGAAAAGTCGACTCTGCAGTTGGCGGGAGAGGCAAAGTGCGCAGCAGCACAGTCATCACAGGCAGCAGAGGGTGCAGAAGAAACACGAGATGCAGCAGGATCAGTGTTTGAACAGCTCTCACCATCACCGTCGCCATCACCAGCACCATCACTATCACCATCTCCATCACCAGCACCATCACTATCACCATCTCCATCACCAGCACCATCACTATCACCATCTCCATCACCAGCACCATCACTATCACCATCTCCATCACCAGCACCATCACTATCACCATCTCCATCACCAGCACCATCACTATCACCATCTCCATCACCAGCACCGTCACCAGTCACGTTGCGCCACGGCCAGCCTTTTCAGGTTTTGCTACCAGCACAAGGCGAGCAGATACAAGGATCTGTGATGCAACAAGCCTCTTTACAAGAAGCCTCTTTACAAGAAGCCCCTTTACAAGGACCAGTTGTCCTCCAACCCCATCAACCCCAAAAACACACATCTACCCCATTGCTCCCCCACAAGGCTCTATGTATCTCTGACTCGCACCAGACAAGGGATGTGTCCGGTGGGTCTGAGACTGGGTGGCAGCACAGGGTGCACTCGAGCCTGTCAACCCCATTGCTTAGTCTTGAGGCTCGTCACTCGAAGGGGACAGGGACACAGCGCGTTATTTCTGGGTGGCAGGAACCTGGTGTGGCTGAGACAGGGCGCGAGTGTGAGGTTGCAGCTCTGGTGGAGGAGAATGGGAGGCTGGAGGCGGAACGGGCTCGGGCAGAGGAGGAGAGGGCGAGAGCGGAGGAGAGGAGTGCGAGGGCGGATGAAGAGATGCGTGTGCTGCAAGGCAACCTGCAGGTGAGTTAAGAGGGCGAGAGGCAAGGGGAGGAGTGCGAGGGCCAATGAGGAGCTGCGAGTGCTGCGAGGCACTTTTGAGAATTCTCAAAACTGCGAGGCAACTTACAAGTGCGTTTGTGTGAAGTGATGAAGTGAACCCTTTGCAGTATTGGTGGGGTTGGTTGTGAGAAAGTGTGAGGTAGTAGGGAGCACATAACCTTTGCTTCATCCCTCCTTTCTCCTCTCCTTCCTCCCTCCACTCTCTTCTCCTGTCCCTCCCTCACATCAGAAAATAGAGGCGCTATGCTGGGCAGAGGCAGGTTCAGCTGGAGGAGGCATTATCTGAGGCAATAGAGAGCATGTATTGACCCCTTTCCCCTCTTACATCCCTTCCTGTTTCTTCCCTCCCACACACCAGGAGGCAGAGGCGTTGTGCTGGCAGAGGCAGGCTCAGCTGGAGGAGGCGTTATCTGAGGTGGCAGTGGGGAGCATATAATGTTTGCTTTCTCCTTCCTTCCTTCCCTCCTACGGCCCTCCATTCTCCCCTCGTGTTTATCCCCCCTCCCATCAGGAAGCGGAGGCATTATGCTGGCAGAGGCAGGCTCAGCTGGAGGAGGCGTTATCTGAAGAAGCAGCGGATATTGAAGATGGTTTGCTTCCTCCTTCCTTCCTCCTATCCTTCCACCCTTCGTTCTCCCCTCCCATCAGGAGGCAGAGGCATTATGCTGGCAAAGGCAGGCTCAGCTGGAGGAGGCGTTATCTGAGGTGACAGCGGGGAGGAGGGAGAGGGGGGCGCTAGAGGAGGAGCTGCTTCGGCTGCAGTGTGCGCTGGACCAGTGTATGCTGCGACTCAATAGCGATTCTGCTTATATGGTGGACAGGTGAGTGATGCTCATTGGGCACATGCAATACCACAACAATCAAGGTGGAAATATATTTGATGTTCTCGTTGCTGCATTAGGACAATGCTGGAGTAAACTCAACGTTGTCCTAATACAGCAAGAGTTGATGGAAGTTAGAGCCCACCTGTCCTCTCGTGACAGCTCCAACACAATCAAGGTGGAAATATAGTTGATGTCCTCTTTGCTGCTGATATTGCTGTGGTGTTCCCATCACGTGCTCCCATCAGTTGTTCCCATCATGTGTTTCCATCACATGTTCCCATCACGCTTTTTGATCAAGTTTATGTGTTACCATCACCAATCTCCCACTGTTGCTGCTAGCAAGTTTGGGGAGTTGTTGGGAAGCTGACGCGCTTGCTGTCCTGTGACTTGCTCTGACAATCATTCTCCGTGGCAGGAGAATTGTGTTGACTTTTGAGTCGACTCAAAAGCTGACGCGCCTGCTGTCCTGTGTCTTGCTTTGACAATCATTCTCTGTGGCAGGAGAATCGTGGTGAAGCTGTTGGTGGCATACTTCCAACGCAACCGCAGCAGAGAGGTGAGCACGAGGGCAGGTACGTGCGCATGGGCATGGGCATGGGCATGGGCATGTGTGTTGCCGCTATGTGCTCCCATCCCAACTGCCACAGAGCTAGAGAATCGTGGTGAAGCTGCTGGTGGCATACTTCCAACTCCGAGGAGTTATTTGCAATGCCCGTCATTTCTACATCGTATGTTTCTCCCCACAACATGTGCTTGACATCATCGCATCCTGGAATGCTCCAAGGACGAGAGGCAGCAACTCAAAGCAGCAGCTGTGCCCCAACTGCACTCGAATTCAAGCCCTCATTCTTGACAACTGCCATTCAAGCCCCCAACTGCCATGCGCCCCATCAACAGGTGCTTGACAACATGTGTCGCATTCTTGAATGCTCCAAGGACGAGAGGCAGCAGCTCGACTTGGCAGCTCAGCTCCCCACCCCACTCTCACACCAGAAGCGCCTTTCTGAGGCTCCCAAAACACCAACCTCAACTGCACCCCTCATTCCATGTCATGCGCCCCATCAACAGGTGCTTGACATTATGTGTCGCATTCTCGAATGCTCCAAGGACGAGAGGCAGCAGCTAGAAGCAGCAGCTTCCCATCCCCCTCTCACCAGAAGTGCCAGCTTCAAATCCAAGGGGAGCGTGCGGCAGGGCGGCAGCAAGGGAGGGGTTTTTGGGCTGCCCGGACGGATCGCGGGCGGGCTATTGGGGGCGAGTAGAAGCAGTTTGGAAAATTCTGGAGGGGCTGAAAGGGATTCTCAGGGGCAGCAAGAGGTGGAAAAAAATCCAGAGGCAAGAAAATCAGGGGTAAGTGGGTGCTTGACTGACAGTGAGTTGATTTTTGAGGCGCCTCAAAAATCGTCTTATGAGGCGCCTCAAAAATCAGGGGTAAGAGGGTGCTTGACCCTGCTTTTCCGTCACATTTGCTTCGAGAGTTGTCAGTTGCTGAAGTGATTCCCAAGATTCATGCTTCTGTTCCTGACCACCTCCAGTCTTTCACATGCTTCCTGGATGGATTTCTTAGTGAAGGAGACAGATGATGACAGAAGCAATTCATAGCTTTTCCCCTGCATTTTCTTCCTCCCTCCGCTGCCTGTCTCTTACCCCTAAAACCAATCCCCAAACCTGCAGTCCTTAACTGATCTCTGGGTGGATTTTCTTGTGAAGGAGACGGACAGCGAAAGAGAGAGGAAACAGGGCCAGCAGCAGCAGGTGCAGCAGCAGCAGGTGCAGCAGCAACAACAGATGCAGCAGCAACAAGAAAGTGGAAGTCTCAGAGCGAGCAGGAGCTCTCCCCCCGATTGTGATTCCTCTACAGGCTCGCGTTCTTGTAATGAAGGGCCTCGTCCGCCACACCCCCCAGCCTACACTACCAGACAAAGCTTGCCACCCAGGTCTCCATCCCACCAACAGCAGCACATGTACCAACAGCAGCAGGCAATGCACACTAGCTCGTTCTCTTATTCCCCGATATCACCCCCCTACCCGCCACCACGATCACCATCGTATCCTCCTAGATCGCCTCATTGCTCCTCACCGGGATTTTCCCCCCGTTCTCCGGCCAGCCCGTCAAGAGTTCCCGGGCATGCTGCGTTGTTTTTCTCGCCGGGCAGCCCGCCACTTCGATTTTCGAGCCTGTCTCCTCGCTCTCCTTATGCCACCAACCTCTCTGTTAATAGCAGCCCTGTTTCATAGATTTTCTTCGTACATGTTAAACGATGCGTCTGTGACTTACCCTGCTGCTTTCGTGCTGCAACTGTCAATTTATTATCTGAAGCTAGGCCATGGAAGAGGGGGGGTCGATACTTTTATTTACATTGATAACCATTCTGTACATATTCAGTTAGTTGCATAACGGGTAACGGGTCCATTCACTGTGGATCATCGTGGTTTGCTTATATCGGCTGCTGTATCCGAGTGGCGGTTTGGGCAGCTTTGGTCGGTGAACACGTGGCAAGGCCAGGCAAGGCGCTTTCGGCCCTTCCCCCCCCCCCTCCCCTCCCACAGGCAGTGCGCTGCAGTTCGTGCGTTACCCAAAGTTCGGCAGTTCTCTTCGTACGGCCACGATTCTTCCTGTCAGCCGCGTCGGGCTGCTTGTCGTGAGGAGGAGATGAATCTCGTCGTTACAAGTTTAGCAGCAGTGACTGCCAGCCAGGCCACAGGCTACTTGGCGGTCCGGCCAGCTCAGCCCGCGAGTACAGTGTAGAATTCCCGATGATCCTCCCATCCTTCTGCCCGTGCGTGCAGGAGGGACGGGGAGGGGAAACAAGGACAGACCGAGAGGGCAGGTTGAGGCGGGAGGAAGGGGGGAGTGGGGAAATGGGGGAAGGTGATGCCCTGGCAGGAGTGGTTTGTTGGTTGATCGACATCCCAGAAGCAAATCAATTTTCACAAATATGGCCGCACTTGGCCCGTTTCCTGAGATGCCACTGGTGGTGCCGTTTCTTCGCGTGCAAACGAATCATTTTCGTTCGTACGGTTCGGAAACCGCCTTTTTTCTGAATCTCCTCCAGTCGTGCTGTACGAGACAAGTGACTCCCCCCCACACTTGCACACCACCCGTGCCATGCCCATTTCACGGGCAGGAATAATATTCGCTGTATGGACGATTTACTTTTACTATTGTTCTGCCTTACAAGATTTGCGGCTGAGGTGTGCGCATGGGGAGGCCCAGTGGCGTCGACCACCCAACGCACCTGTGTGTGCTGACCGAAGTGTAGCCTCATTTCACAACAACTACAAAACGTTTCATTGTAATGTTACTGTTCTCGATTACGAATCACCAACTTTCATCCCTGTTTTCTCATGTTCTGCTCTACATATTTTTTAGCAACATTTCAATGTAGGGCCTCTTCCACAGCTAAAACCCAACCATCTTCTACGGGCGGAAAGCTTTTGTATTGGAAAGTCCAGCTTTCTTAACTAAGCTTATACGTACAAGATTGCCAATTGGCATTTCGCATACTCACGTTTTTCAGGATCAGAAAACGTGAACTAACCCATGTCGATTTTCTGCGGTGAAATTATTTCAAAACTCGCTGGGATGGAAGGAACAGCGTCGTGGAGAGAGTTCGTTTCAACTGAACACTACGCCGACCAATACAGCTGATGCTCACCCCATGCACGCGAATTTGCCTTGCGCCGGATGGATACGCTGCACCCGAGGTTGTTTCCCCAGCTTCATGCACCTACATTACAAGCGCGTCGCGTGGTTATCAACCAGTAGTAACGAACAGACCGACGTCAAACTAGGTACAGACCGAAGTCAAGCAGAGGAGACTGAAGTCAAACTAGGTTACAGATCTTGTTTATAAGCACATGCGAATCATTTTTAGCTAGCTGCGAATTGCCGAAACTTATGCGAAATGCTCGTGACAGCTTATACGCCCCCTTCGTAAGGCAACCGGGAGGGGCTCAAACAGGCATCAGGTGTACCTGCTTTGTGGAGTACACTTCGTGTCCGTTTCGATTTGATGGGATTTATGAATCGGAAAGTAGGAAAGATTCATCGGAAGCAGGACAGAACCGTCGGTAGCGCATGGTGAAATTTGTTTTTGCAACGGTTGAAAGCGCTTTCCCGTGGTGAGGGATGGAGAAGACTCGAGAGACTCGTCAGCAGCAGCAATGACAGCGTGAGGGAAGAATGGGGGCGAAAAAATGCGTGGCTGGCACGGGGGCAAGAGTTTGTGTAGCGAGAGTGAATCAAGCATAATCTTCGTCAGCAGCAACTCCCCTGGAGCTTCGGCGCAGCTCTGCATAAGAACGAAAGTCACTCCCATCTCACTCTCATCTTATCCTCCCCTCCAGACTGGTCATTTGTGCAACCCTCCGTCACCACACCGCTATCATTGAATTTTCTTGGATCTAATCCAACACAGCCACAGCTCGATGTTTCACGCGTTGCGTCGCGTAAACTAACCACCCGCGCGAAGACTAATGTTTCACCCTGTTTAGCGGCTTACCCACCCAGCAGTGAATTCAGTCACAGTCCCTTTCCACGTCTGTTGTTGTGCAGTAGTACTGCTTTCTCCTCGCTCCGCGTCACTAATTCCGCGTCACTAATTCCACGTCATCTCACTGATTTTCCAGACAATGTCGCCTCCTAGCTCCGCGCGCGTCCGCGTTCCAGCGTCCAATAGCGTGCCAGCATCGTCGTCCTCGGCCAATCAGCGCCGCGTCGACGACATTCTCTCCCGCTTCTCGCGGTCCGCGTCCGTTGACGGCGGCTCGACCACCGAACCAGTACCCTTCGAGTCGGCGCAACGGTCATCCAGCCACTTGAACTCTCCCACCTCGTCGCGCCGCCTCGCGGTTCGACTGCTCGTCGGTGGGGTCGAGTCGCTACAAGTGCCGTCGCCAAGGCCGCCGTCGCCGTCGCCGTTGCTGTCGCCGTCGCCTACGCCGCACCGCATGGGGGTTGAATACTCGGCCCCTTCGCCGAAGCTTCCGCCGCGAAAGACGCGGCAGCAGGCGAATCCCGGCCACATTTCCCCCTGCTCGCCGTCGTCGCCTGATTCGCGGCTCGTTCGCAAAGACCAGCCGCGCCGCGAAGAGAGCCGCGAGGAGCGCCGCGATGAACGGCGCCGCCTGCGGAAGGTTTCGCAGTCGGAGCGCCCCGAAAGGCCGAGCCGCCACTACAACAGTTCCTCGTCGCACCTCGATCGCCAACAGCAGCAATCGCCGCCGCAGCAGCAGAAGAGCATATTAAAGACGTCGCCGCCGCGAGACGCGTGGGAGGTATGCGACGCGCTGAGTCACACGAGCGTCGTCGCTGCGATGGCTGAGTCGCCGTCATCCCCGCTAACAGCCGCCTCGCGACTCTGTAAAAGCAAGCGTAGCTCGAGCAAGTGTAACGTCGCTGCAGAAGCGGTGGTCGCGGGCCTCGAAGTCACCGCAGCGGCTGCCGCGGCGGCAGGTGCGGCGAGGGACGGGCAATGGCTCGCAAGCGGGTTCGAGGAGCTTCAGAATAAGCTCGAAGCGTTTTCAGTTACCACCCAGCAGCTGGCGATATCGCTGGAAGATGCTCGTAAGGAGGCCCAAGAATCGCGGGCAGCCATGGATGCGGCTCGGGCGGAGCGCGATTTGCTGGTGGTTGAAATGGAGGCCACGCTGGCAGCATGGTCCACGTCGGACGCGGAAAAGGCGGAGGAGCTGGTGCGGGTGGGGGCAGAGAAGGCACGAGTGGAGAGGGAAAACGGGGAATTAAAGCGTGAGTTATTGGAGACTAAGAGGCAGTATGCGGAGATGAAACGGCAGCTGGAAATGATGAGAGCAGAGAGGGACGCCGCTGTGACTCATGCTAGGGTCGCTGTGGCTAGAGCAGCTGCTGCTGGAGCCTCTGGTGGTGCTGCTGCTGGTGGTTCTAGTGAGTCATTGCCTCGTGATAGCTCCTCCCACCTCCGCCCTCGGCACTCGTGCTTCACTCCCATCCTCGCAGATCCATCGGAAGAAGACAGCAGTAATGGCAGCAGCAGCAGCAGCATCACTAGTTCTGCTGCAGGCCATGCTGGCAGCAGTACCAACGCTCGCAGCCCTACAACTAAGAATTCCAGGAGTGAGTACAGAGTCAAGTACAGCACAACTGGTGCAAGTGGCAGCAGCAGCAGCTGCAGCCTTTCCGAAATCCCGATTCTGGAATCACAGGGTTCATCTGGGGGAGGCAGCAGTGGGGGGTTGAAGAAGATGCATCGGTCTCATGATGCACTGCCAGTGTATGGGAATGTGGAAGATGGGAGGATGGTTGTTTCTCAGAAGCATGTTCAGTGGTCTGAGCAGTGCTGCTGAGTGGTTGCTTTTGACACTAAGCTGGTGCCCCAGTCTTGAATCAGCCATTTCTTGGCCGTTTTGGATGTCTGCATTGTACGATATTGTATATAAACAGCATAATATATTTCCCTTCATGCACTTCCTCATCGACCGGCCTTGCTAACCAGCTCTAGATACCGTAACAAGCATGCCAACAAAAACTGGATAAAGTACAAGGGGCTCATCTGTTCCGTATCCTTCCAACAATGTCCACCCGCCCATACTAAAATAGGTGGTGAACAGTGTTCAGCTCATCAAACAGCAAGCTCTAGCAGCTATTGTCCACAATAGTGAAAAGGTGCAGGGGAGAATCTATTCACACAGCACAGCACGGTTCTGCAGTCCACTGGGATGAAAGTTGTACAGCGGGGAAGAAACAAGATTTACGCTGACAGTTTGAGTGTCAAATAATACAGTAGCTGTTTTGAAAGAATCACAATCACTTGCTGCAATGACCTTCACTCTTTCTTGCCAATCCCGAAGGACATGTTGAACAAGCCCCTGCCCTGCATATCACAAACAGCACACAAGGGAATGGCATCAGTCTATCAGATATGCAGATCCACGACATGGGTACACCACAGAACCAAATGAGAAGGAAGAATCAGAATATCGCAGAAGTTAGAAAACAGAACGGCCGTTACTGACCTTCCGCGCCACTCCTGCGCTTGAAGTCAGTGTCAAGATAAAAGAATGCAGCATAGACGATAGGGCCATAAGCGCTAGCACTCTGCAGGACAAGAGCGTCAGCACTTATGATGAGCACCTCGAAAGTCTGTGCGATTTGAATCGCTTCAGTGCGGTAAGACAAAAGTTATCTTCTTTCAGTGACGAGCACTTATGGGGAGTATGGCCGCGCGCAACCGTGAGCACATAGTAGCACAGCGCGAGCTCGTGATCCGATACACTACTCAAGAGCGCCAAGGCGCGGGTCGACTGCAACGGCTATTGTGCGAACCTACGTCGGTGCGAAACAACGCGGTTAGAGCAAAGCGGTGCGGTACAGTACTTTCTCGTGCGCCGCGTGGCGCCCAGCGCGAGCACCGACGGAATGACGACGCTCGAGATCCGAACGCGGGGACCCTTCGAGTATGTCAAGAAGCGAGATGTCTGCAATGATTTCCGCGGAACTCGGTGCGGTTGAACGTTATGCACTACGGTTCACTGCGGTTCAGTGCGATTCACTGCGGTGCCAAGATATACTTCTTACAATGAGCGCGGTGGCGGTCAGCGCGAGCACGGACGGAATGACGACGCTCGTGATCCGATCGCCGGGAAGTTTCATGTGCACCAATTTGCGAGTCGACTGCAGCAGCTTCTGCTGCTCCCGAAGCGCACTGCTGACGTCCGTCATGGTGAGCGTTTCGCTCTGCTGGTTGCGAAGGAAATCGAGCAAGAAACACGATTCCGAAAACAGATGAACAATAAAAAGACCGCGCGAGTAGTCTCATTCGGTAAACACGAAACTATTGCAGATCCTCGGCTCACCGAATAAGGAAACGCGGGAAAAAAAGGGGAAAAAACGAAGGGCTGTTGGTGCACGGGAAAACACAGCACTTACAGAAAGATTAATCGACGGAACGTGAGGGATGGTGGCCTGAGTCCACGTATAGGCAGCGTAGAGGCAAGCGAGAGGCAGTAGCACTAGGTATCGAGAATCTCTAGTTGTACGAGGCCGACGAGAGGTGCTTTAGGGTTGCACTGTTGAGCCGAGCCGAGATGAGCTTGTTAGAGGGTGTCTCACCAACGTTTGTATGGAAACGGTGTGAACAAAGAAGAACCAAGGTTACAAGTGGAATAAAAAATAGACCAAAATATTGATTTTGCATTCAACCCAAGTGCTGCTTCCAAACAGGCATTGCACCAGCAAGTGCACTTGAGAATCCAAACAGCTTAATAGACTCACTTAAAAGAGCAAGATGCTCTATTATTGGGATATACTAAGGCCAACCCAACACTACATAAATGTGAATCACTAAACCAGATTTTACTGCTCGGCATTGACCCGTTCAGCTTCATCTATCCATTCAGAAAACCTGCAGGCAGCAGCGAAGGGAAGATTAGGAGCATTAGATTACTCGGTTAACACAGAGAACATGCATGGATGCCAGCCAGTCAACACATGAAAGCAGAGAGCACGGAAAGCAAAGGGGCGAATGGCATGATTGCGTGACAAGAGAGAGAAGGCGGATAGAGTAGAAGCAAGAGGTGGTTTGAATGGAAGCAGGAGGTGAATAGAATGGACGTACATAAAAAATTGCAAATACTTCTGAAGTTTCTCAAAAGCCAGAGGTGGCTGAATGGAAGCAAGAGGAGAGGTGAATGGACTGGACGTACAGGTCAATGGGTTCGCTCAAATCTGTTTGCGAAGCAGAGAAGCAACACCACCATGTGGAGGGGACAACAATGAATACGTCCCACGCCGCCAAGAAAAGGTCCAGTTGAGGATTTTGTTACGAGGATCACGCGGAAGGGAAGGACGGAAACAGGGAGGGTGGAGAGAAGGAAGGGAACAGGGGGGGGAGGGGGTTGGGGGGTAAGTGTTGCCACAGAGAAAAACACAATGCGATAAAAACTGATGAGAAAAGAGGGAAATCAGTAGTGGACGGACAGAAGAACGGGTGGACGGACAGACTGACGGACGGAGGGAAGGACGGACGGACGGACGGACGGACGGATGGATGGATGGATGGACAGACGGACGGATGGATGGACAGACGGACGGATGGATGGACAGGATGGATGGACGGATGGACGGGACGGATGGACGGATGGACGGATGGATGGATGGACGGATGGACGGATGGACGGATGGACGGACGGACGGACGGACGGACGGACGGACGGATGGACGGGACGGATGGACGGGACAGACGGACAAACGGATGGACGGACGGACGGGACGGATGGACGGATGGACGGATGGACGGACAGACGGGACGGATGGACGGATGGAGGGGACGGACGGACGGATGGACACGCACTGTCAATGGTGGTTTGGTATTGCTCGGCGCACACGCGGCACGACACCGTCCCTATGCCTGCTTTTTTATCCCTGCATGGTAAAGCAATTGTCCAGCCGATCATACAAGTGATCATCAGGGTGATTGGGAACAGGAAAGTGATTGAAACACAGGGACGCGATCAGATGAATGAGTCACGGATAGGCATGATAACATGCAATACTTGCTCGAGACAAGCGGGGAAAGCGAAAGCCGTTGTAGGGGCTTCAACGGCCAGCACGCTGTGTTGGACGGAAGAGGAACGGGGCATATGACAGTCAGAGAGATTAAGCCGCCGTCGCGCGAAAGCACGTGTTGTTCACCCGTCGGGAGAATACGGAGGTCTGAAGGCGTAGTGCTGCGTATAGTTACTACTGCGCTTGTTGCACATACAGCAGGCTGCGGACGCTCGTTTCACGTACAGTTTGCACTCGACGCTGGCCTCGTGATTGCAGAACGGGCAGTTGAACGTCGTCGGGACCTTCTGAACCTTCCTCGCCTCGGGCTTCGCGGCCGACTTTCGCTTCCCCATTTGCAGCGGCTCGGAGTCGGACGCGCAGGCGAACTGTTAGCGGCGGAATGGACTGAAATTTCTCGGAATTCTTAAGAACTTACTGATGTGCCTCAGAGTCACCTACTGGAGTTTGACACTAAAGTCAGGCAACGCGAAATAGCGGCATTCAAACAGCCGCGACTATGCTAACTTGGAAGGAATAAATTTTGCAAGAATGCAACAATGAGCACTCGTAGGCTCTGCTTACGGGGTATGTATCTGTTATGAACAAAACAAAAAAGGTCCGCTCTGACGGTCTTCTGACGTAGTGACCCTGAACGAGGGGCGAATAATTGATGGTGAAGCTGGGAAACGAAAGGCTGTGCGATACGTCTTGGACCTATCAAGGAAAGGAGAAAATAGTGACTTACCTCATTAGTAGCAGCCGTGTCAGAGACAAAGTGCGTTCGTCGGACCAAAATTCTCGACAAGGTTTAGCCACGGACCAGGTCAGCACGGACCAATCACACGAGACCAGCCCTAAGTTCGGGTGTCCCCCTGAACTGTTTTGGCAAGGCAACTCCCAAGCCTGACTGATCGCAAGAGATTTCGTCTGCTTCACTCTACCCCGAAAGGCGGGGTGTACCTGCTTCGTGTACCCAACCAGACTGCCTCGGTTCAAGGCATTGTTGACGGAGTTTTCCCCCATGCTGACGGAATTTTTGAGTTCTTGACGGAACCTTGACGCACGTTTTGCATTTTCGAGAACCATCACTCTGCACCGGGATTGACGGCAGCTTCCCGCTAAAATATCTCCAGCTTTTCGCATGTTTTGTTTTCTCATTCGCCTTGCCGTCCTACCAGCACATATGTTCAGATATAGTACTTTAGGGTAGTGGCATTAATGTGCGAATCTTTTTCAACTGCGCGCTTCGTGATTAGCATCCGATCGCGCTTCGGTGGCTGTAGGTTAGGTGTAACGTTCAGCGTGTCCGTTGCTGACGGTGCGATGAGCGTTCATGATGTAGATTAGTCGTTGACGATCAGTTCGTAACTGTTCGTCATCGGCAACGAAAACCGTCAGGGTCCGTCGGTAGCAGCCGGCACGATGCTGGACGTCGCGCCGCTCACGTTTCTTGTGGTCTTCATCGTTTGCACCGTGGGAGCATGGATAGTCTCCAAGTAAGATAAGTTTAATACCAGCTTCTTGATTACTTTCCAATCAATTTCTGAAACACCAGAAGCTCCAGTGTAATAGATGCGATACAGTGACAGGTCGTTGCGCGCATAAGTTCAATATATGAAAGATCGCTCCAGTTGATACTATACGCTCTACCGTCCCATTGTTCTCCATCAATGCTTGACGATTTTCAGCCATATTTGTGTGGCATCAACCTGATACTCAGGATAGCTAAAGCCTTGTATATCCACGTTGTGGAACCCCCGTGTAAAAATTCTTTTGAACGCAGGTTCTTCACGCAGATCGTAACCCTCGCGATCAAGGTTACCACAGGAAATTCGTTGAGCTTTCGCGTGCTTGGCCTCTTGAAGGTCAAGGATATCCATTGCGCTTTCAAAAAGGTCAGTCTCTTCCTCCTTTTCACTCCCTTCGACTCTCGTTAACTTCACATCCAACACAGGCGCCCTTCGCCGGTTAACACGAGTTAAACTAAATTACAATGCTGCGCATTGTTCAATGTAATGCTGCAAAGTCTTCAGTTCCGCACATTGTTCAATGCCATATATTGCTGCAAAGACTCTCCCATGTCTCTCATCCCATCCCCACCCACAACAACAGGGCCCCATAGAGAGCGTGACTATACGCGAGGTGAAGGGCCACCTGGCGTCCCTGAGCAGCCTGAAGCTGCGCCTGCGCGTCAAGATCAAGGACGTTGACATCGTGCTCCGCCCCTCGCCCCCCTCCACATCCAAAAAGAAGAATAAATCCTCCAAAACCACCTCCAATGGTGGAGGTTCCGCGGCTAAAGGCCCGGCCAGGAAGGCCGGGGCGATTGCGGCCGCGTGGGGGCGGTGGAAGCTGCTAGGGAGCTTTTCTCGGGTGGTTCGGGTGTGTCTGTTTGATGTGTCTGTGCGGTGGGCTCAGGCTCCCGATGTGTGCTTCCAGCTGAGGGAGTTTGACCTGTTCTCCACCGCTGATGCCTCGGGGAAAGGGCAGGTGGCGATGAGACTGGAGCTGCTGGGGATGTCGCTGTCTCATCGCCCCCCTGTTTCTGAGAAGAGCCCTGGGGTCCGGTCTAGATCGATGAATCTGTTTGGGATTGGCGGTGGGGGTGGGAGTGGGGAGGAGGGGGAGGGGGAAGGGGAGTGGGATGGTGGGGGAGGGGGGAAGGGGAGAGGGAGTGTGGGAGGAGGAGGAGGAGGGAATGGGGAGGATGCACTGCCGTTGATGCTGCTGGAGAGCTGGACGACTGACATGGCACTAGGGTTTGACAGGTCAGTTAGCTGTGACTGTAAAACGTCAGCTTTGAGCATGACACGTCAGCTTTGGTAACTGTCGAGACTGTGCATTAAACAGGAGCTGCGCACAGCACGTGGTGCAATGATCCACTTCTGCAGACCTGCGCAGCCTTTTGATCGAAGAAGTGTTTTGAGACGCCTCAAAACACTTCTTCAATCGAGATTGTGCATTAAACAGGAGCTGCGTCACGTGGTGCAATGATCCACTTCTGCAGACCTGCGCAGCCTCCACTACTTTAGCATGCAACCCCCCTTTTCCTGCATCCCCGCTCAGTCCCTTTCTCCCTGGTCTTTTATCTTCTATGCTTCTTCTCCTCTCGTCTTGGTTCCTCGTCCTTGTCTCAACCATAGAGTTACTTGGGATCTTCAACCTTCTCCCCTGCCTCCCATCTCCTGTGTTCCTTCCTGATTCCCCATCCCTCCTCCTCCCCCAGGGAGGTGGGCATAGCAGTGCGGCTGCTACAGCTGCAGTTGTCGGAGCTACTGCTGAACCTCTCCTCTTGTCCCTCACACCCCCCTCCTCCCTCCCTCCCCACCCTCCCTCTCCAAACTCACCATTTTCCCTCGGCCCCAGGGAGGTGGGCATAGCAGTGCGTCTACTACAGCTGCAGTGGTCGGAGCTAGAGCTGAACCTCTCTGGGCGCCTGCTCGCCCTGCACTCTCCTTCTCCCCACCCTCTCCACCATCTCCCCCCTTATCCATCTTCCCTCCTTATCCATCTTCCCTCTCCCCCAGGCAGGTAAGCATAGCGGTGCTCCTGCTGCAGCTGCAGTGGTCGGCATTAGAGCTGAACCTCTCGTCTCTCTCACCCTTTTCCTCCCTCTCCCACTCCATTCTCCCTCTCCTTCTCCATCCTCTCTTCCCCTCCCAGGGAGGTGGGCATAGCAGTGCGGCTGCTACAGCTGCAGTGGTCGGAGCTAGAGCTGAACCTCTCTGAGCGTCTGCTCGCCCTGCGCATCATCAAGCCCCCCAAGCGCCCCCCTGCCGCGCAGCCTCCTGTTACTCCCGCGCCAGTGGCTACAGCAGGAGCGACTGTTCCTGTGCTGGTGAACGAGAGGAAGCGCCCCAACCTGCCAGAAAAGGTGTGTTGATGAATTCTTTCTGCCTGGGCTAAACTTTCTAGGCCCCTTAGCATGCCGCACCCGTGGCTGCCACAACAGTTCCTGTGCTGGTGAACGAGAAGAAGCGCCCCAACCTGCCAGAGAAGGTGTGTTGATGCTTTTCTTGCTGCTCAGGCTAGGGCTTTACCTAGGCTTTGAGGCCCCTTTGCGTGCCGCACCTGTGGCAGCAGCAGCAGCCCATGTTGCTGTGCTGGTGAACAAGAGGATAAGGCGAAGGTTCTGATGTTGCTGTTTCCCAACCTCCCGGAGAAGCTGTGCCTCAGAAAGTGTGTCTGATGGAGAAGGTTTACTGTTGTGTTCTTGCTGCCCGGAATTTTGTGTTGAAGGTGCATTGCTAGCCCACTCACCCCACCTGCCTCGCCTGCTCCCCTCCCTCTTCCTCCTTGCATCAGGTGCAACTCTCTCTGCCTTGCATCATGCCGCGCCTCTGGCACCACCGCTGTACCATCTTGTTGCCGCCCCATTGCCGTGTCCCTTCTGCTCCCCCTTCTCCCCCTCTTTGCCCCACTTCTTTCCCCCTTGCACCACCAGGTGCAAGTGACCCTACCGCGCATCATGGTGCGTCTGTGGCACCACTGCTGCGGCCTCTTGCTGCGCAGCAGCTGCGGCCCCATCACCCTCTCCCTGCACCCCCTGTCCCTCCTCCTGCCCTCCCTGGCCCCCCTCTACCCCCCTGCACCAGGTGCAAGTGACCCTACCGCGCATCATGGTGCGTCTGTGGCACCACCGCTGCGGCCTCTTGCTGCGCAGCAGCTGCGGCCCCATCACCCTCTCCCTGCACCCCCTGTCCCTCCTCCTGCCCTCCCTGGCCCCCCTCTACCCCCCTGCACCAGGTGCAAGTGACCCTACCGCGCATCATGGTGCGTCTGTGGCACCACCGCTGCGGCCTCCTGCTGCGCAGCAGCTGCGGCCCCATCACCCTCTCCTCCACACTCTCCCGCCCCGCTCCTGACCTTTCAGTCATTGAGGCTGATTTTAGTATCGGCATTGTGGAGGTGAGTGAGTGAAATGATAGAGAAGGAAGTTGATGGGGGTGTTATTTTAGATGCATAAAGAATCACCACCCTCTCCTCGTCACTATCCCGCCCGGCGCCTGAGCTTTCAGTCATCCAGGCTGATTTCACTATGTCATTTTGAAGGTGGGCTGGTAGAGGGGTGGTGTGGTATGGTATGGTAAAAGTGAGTGCGGTGTTGAATTTTGAGACGTTTTTCTACGAGCCAATTTCCCGTTACCCTGTCATCTCGCGTCTCCCGTTCGCCCCTCCCCTCTCCCACTTGCTCCTCGCCTCTCCCAGTCATTCCTCACCTCTCATTCCCTCCCACTCCAACTCATTTCTCTCCCTTCCAACTCATTACTCCCCTCTCCCACCCGATCTTCCCTACTCCCCCTCCCACCCCCCCACGCACCCCTCCCTTCCCCCTCTCTGTTGTCTTCCTGCCACCCGCCTCCCCAGGTCTTAAAGAGTGCAGAGGGCAGTGCTCTGTCAGTCACACGTGTATCTTCATCAGCTTGCCTCTCCTTCCCACACTATGTGAGTCAGCATGCCTCTTTCATTCCCGTGCTAAGTGGAAAGTGCCTCTTTATTCTGCACTATGCCAGTTAACCTCGCCCCGTAAGTGTCTCTTCCTCACTTTTCTTTTCACCACTTTCAACCACTCTGCGCCTACCTTTTCCCCCTCTCTCAGACGGCAGAGGCAGTGCGGGCAGAGGTGGATGATGTGACTCTCTCAGCTGTGGACTGGCGGGTGTTCCCCGCCACTCTCGCCCCGTGGGTGTCTCATCCTTTCACCACTTTCAACCGCTCTGCACCCCCTTTTTCCCCTCTCTCAGACAGCAGAGGCAGTGCGTGCAGAGGTGGATGTTACCCTCTCAGCCGTGGACTGGCGCGTGTACCCTGCCACTCTCGCCCCATGGGTGGCAGCAGCTTTCGAGGAGATGCGCAGGAAGAAAGCAGCAGCGCTCAGGCGCCAGCACTTGCAGTTGCAGCAGGAGCTTCTGGAACAGCAGCAGCAGCAGCAGCAGCAAGGGTATTTGGAAGGGATTCTGTCTCCACGTGCCAAGGCCAGAGGCGCAGGCGCAACCCACAAAGCTGATTCACCGCTGAGCAATAGGGCAGAAGCAGCGACAGCAGGAGCAGGAGGGAGAGTGGGTGAAGGGGCAGGGGCACCAGGAGCAGTAGCAGGAGAGGGGGCAGCAGTGGTGGAGGTTACCAAGCCTAAGAAGCCAAAGCGGCCGTTCAGACTGGAGGCAGTGGTGGGAGCAGTGGGGGCGAAGGTCACAGTACATGATTATGACGGCACCCCTCTCTACAGAGCCTCTGCTGCCAAGTTCCACCTCTTCCTCTCCAAATCCACCGGGAACCCTCTTTCTGCTGCTGCTGCTGCTGCTGCAGTCGCAGGCCTCTGCTTCGACCCCACTTGGGCCTGTTTCTCCTGGTTCTGCTGCTGGTGGTGGTGGTGGGAAGGCAGGGTGGGGCAGAAGCAAGGGGGGCCGGTACTCGTTTCTGAGCCGGTCAGTTGGAGGAGCAGGAGGAGGGGCAGGAGATGGAGCAGCAGCAGCGGCGAGCAGTCCTGGGGTTTCCAGGACGAGCAGCAGGGCGGAAGCAGCAACAACAACTACTAGGGCGGGCTTTAGCAGGTCTACGAGCTGCTTTGCTGCCAGTCCTTCGGGTGCTGCTCCTGGTGCTGGTGGCTTTGGTAGAGGCCCTGCCTCCGCCTTCCCTTCCTCCTCCTCCATCCCCGCTTCTCCTGCTGCCGCCGCCGCCGCTGCCGCCGCCGCTGCCGCTGCTGCTGGGACTGGCACTGCTGCTGCGGCTGCTGGTGGGGAGAGTGTGATGGAGGTTCAGGTGGAGTATTCAGGCGTGCAGGTGGCAAGGCTGCCCAGAGAAGAGGACTTCGCCAGGCTTGCTGAGGCACATGGTGCTGCTGGTGTTGCCGGTGCTGCCGGTGCTGCTGGTGATCCTGCTCTTTCCCCTTCTGCTTCTGCTTCTGCTGCGGCTGCTGTGCCTCGGGAGCAGGTGTTTATTCAGGTGTCTCGCCTGGGAGCAGAGTGGGGCCCTGGGATTCCCGACAATTGGGAAGAGCTTGGGGATTCATCAGGAGGGAAGGGAGGGGGGGAATTATCGGGAGCAGAAGGAGCAGGAGCAGGAGGAGAATCAGGAAGAGGAATAGGAGTAACAGGGAGTGTCAGCACCCCTGGTAGTGGCTCCGGTGGGGGCGCATATAGGGTGGTCAGTGGAGGAGGAGGAGTGGGGAGGGGGGAAGGGGGGATACTATACAAGGTGCTGATGGTGCAGGTGGGGGTGCGGGGGCTTAGAATCCGCCCCTCCTTCCCCCTCCTGGGATCGCTAGCAGAGGAAATCACCCGGGCAGAGCATTTTGTCAAAAGGGAGAAGAAGAGAGGTGCTAGTACTAGCACAGCGGGTGCCACTGCAGGTGGGGCTGACGCGAGTGCTGCTGGTAAGGACTCAGGCAAAGGGAAGAGCAAGAGCAAGAGCAAGGGGAAGGGCAAGGGGAAGGGTGTGAAGGCGTTTCGGATAGTCCTAGACGACTCTCTGCTGGAGCTGGAGTGCCCGTGCACGGTGGTTGAAGCTGATGTGCTAGACCCTAAGAAAGTGCACTTTGGGGATGAGCTGGGAGAGCGGGTGTTCCACCTCACCCCTGAGGGGGACTTGAGGGTGGCGAGGGTTAGGAGGTTTGAGTGGGAGGGGGTTGAGCATGCTTCTGTGGTGTGTGCTTTGCGGGTGGAGTTGCCTTCGGTGACGGTTGGGGGGAGAGTGGGGGGGAAGCAGGTGCAGGTGGGGGTGGAAGGGGCGAGAGTGGTTTATGTGGAGAAAGGGGAGGGCGGGGAGTTGGGGAGTGCGGTGCGGAGCGGTGGTGCTGGGTTTGGGAAGGGGGGTTTGGAAGGGAAGGGAGGGGAAGAGAAGAGAGTGGGGAGGGAAGGTGGGAGGAGGCAGGATGGGGTGATAGCAGAGGTGGTGGTTTGCCGGTTACAAATGGCGCACGTGTTGCTTCGGAAAGGGCTGCTAGGTCTGGACGGAGGTCCGGCGCCGGACCGGGTGGTGGTTACCGCAGCTGGGCTGGAGGCTCGGTGGGAGCCAGACGTACAGGTGCTGGTGGTGGAGGTAGGGGAGGAGATGAAGGAGGTTACGGGTCGGAGAAAGGCTGTGATAGAACAATGGCGGAGAATGGCAGAGAGAGAAGGTGAGGCGGAGCAAGCGCGGGTGAATCATCAGCAGGCGCAGCAGAAGGGAGAGGGAGAGGGTGCAGGAAAGCTAGCCACAGCAGGTGGTAGTCTGGATGTGAGTCTGTTGGGGAGGGATGGTGGGACTCAGCTAGGTGTAGCAGCAGTAGCAGCAGCAGGGGCCACCAGCACCAGCACCAGCACCACGCCCAGGCTCAGCAGTAGCAGCATGGGAGTATCGCTGCCGCCGATGGGACCCAGTGGTGAGGGCAGACGCTCCATTGGTGTTGCCAAGTCCGCCGGTGCTGCAGTTGCGGTGCTGGAGGGTGTGGTGGGGTTGGGAACGGTTGGAGGCGGTGCCGGGCGCAGGAACAGTGACAGCATTGTCGGTGGTGCCACGTCAGCGGCCGGCGGTGGCGGCGGCTCCAGCTGGCAGCAGTGGAAGCCGGGAGGACACGTGGCAGGAGCACCATCAACAGCAGCATCAGATAATGCCTCAGCAGCAGCAGCAGCAGCAGCAGCAGCAGCAGCAGCAGCAGCAGCAGCAGCAGCAGCAGCAGGATCAGGAGTAGCTGGTGATTCCACAGCCGCGGCCAACCCGAGCAAGCCGGCGAAGGCGAAGAAGCCGAAGCCAGTGGTAGCGGTGGATGTGACGGGGGTGGTGGTGACGGTGGGGATAGGCGACGAGACAGAGATGCGTGTGGAGGCGAAGGGGCTGTTCTCAGAGGACGCGGCCATGGGGGCGCTTCTTGAGGGCCTGGCGTTGAGAATCAATGGAGCGGCTATGCTCTTCAGCGAGTCCTTCCAGGTGAGTTATTCTTCTGAGGTGCTGCAAGGAAAGGAAGGTAATATTAATTGAGGTGAGACAGAGATGCGTGTGGAGGCCAGGGGGCTGTTCTCTGAGGACGCGGCCATGGGGGCGCTGCTAGAGGGGCTGGCGTTGCGCATCAATGGAGCTGCCATGCTCTTCAGCGAGTCCTTCCAGGTGAGTGACTGGGGTGCATACAGCATAGTGCTGAGACAGAGACGCTTGTGGAGGCCAGGGGGAGTTCTCTGAGGATGCGCCCATGGGGGCGCTTCTTGAGGGGCTGTGTCTGCGCATCAATGGAGCTGCCATGCTGTTCAGCGAGTCGTTCCTGGTGAGTCGTTATTCTGCAGCGCCTCAAGAATTGTATGGATAGGCGACGAGACAGAGATACACGTGGAGGCCAGGGTATTGTTCTCTGAGGACATGATATGTGTCAATCCAACTGTTAACCCCCCTTCCTTTCCCACTCCCCCACTCCCCTCCCTCGGCCTCCCACCAGGTTTCTCGTGTGTCCAGTGCAACACCAGTGGTGGTTGCGCCTCCCTCCGCCCCCCCACCACAGCCAGGGGAAAGCACATCCACAGTGTGGGACTACGTGATCCAGGCGAGCTCGTCTCGCTTCATCCTGCCGGCAGGATGAAGCGCAGTGGAGGACAGCGCAGAGGACATGATGCGCGTGCTCAAGGCCTCCCCTCCCCTCCGATCCCCACCACTCCCTCCCCCCCAGGTCTCTCGTGTGCCGAGTGCAACACCAGTGGTGGTGGCTCCGCCCTCCGCCCCTCCACCAGAGCCAGGAGCTAGTGCATCAACAGTGTGGGACTATGTGATCCAGGCGAGCTCGTCGCGCTTCATCCTGCCGTTCCAGTTTGAGGTGCGCGCAGTGGAGGACAGCGCTGAGGACATGATGCGCGTGCTCAAGGCTGTCACCGCCGCCCAGAAGATGGCCCGCCAGGCAAGGCGCTTGCGGCACGGGGCAACTGCTGCTGCTAGTGGTGCTGCTGCTGCTGGTTCGGTTCCAGCTGCTGCTGGGTCAAGCCTGGCAGCTGCAGTGGCCGATCCAGCAGCTCTGGCTTCCGCAACAGCCGCCGCCGCCGCCGCCGCCGCCGCCGCCGCCGCCGCCTCAGCTGCTGGGTCAGGCCCGGCAGCATCGGTGGGCGATCCGGCAGCTCTGGCATCCGCAACAGCTGCAGCGGCGGCAGCAGCAGAGGCAGAGGGGGTGATCCCCCCCACGGTGCCCTCCTCCTCCTCCGCCCCCAAGCCCAAGAAGCCCCCTGCGCGCCAGAAAGGCCTCATACGCCTTATAGTGAAGGAGCTGCTTTTAGAGGTGGAGGAGGAGCCTATACAGGGGTGGCTGGACGAGAGGAGGCAGCTTATGAGACCGCTAGTGGAAGATAGGCTGGTGAGGGAGAGATTGCTGGAGGAAGAGGAGGAGAATTTGATGGGCGGGGATATTTTTCCCGCGGGTTTGGAAGGGCGTGTTGGGGAGGGAGTAGGGGGCGGGGATGGGGAGAAGTCTCCTCAGGATGGGAGGGGAGGGGGAGGAGTGGGGGTAGGAGGGGGAGGAGGGGGGAAAGGGGTGAGTCCGCAAGTGCTGGCTGCAGCAGCGGCTGCAGCAGAGGCTGTTGGGGCTACGCAGGTTTCAGGCGAAGCCAAAGGTACTGCGGTCAGGTTGAAACTTTTCCGGGAACGTTTCCAGGCTGCCCGGGAGGATCTGCACCGGCGGGCATGCCTGGCGTACAAAGCAGCGTGCGAAAATCTTGTGAAGGATCCGGGCACGGGATGGGCGTATAAAATCGGGCTGAATGAAAAGTTTCCGATGACCACCACCCGAAGAAGCGCTGCTAGCCTGTGGTTCGCGTTTGCAGAGCTGGCTCTGATACCAATAGAGCACGGGCGGCAAGGCATGGTGGCGAAAATTCGCAAGCTAGACACTGTTCCTGCTTCAGATAAGGTACCCATTGCGAGGATGTACGGGCGGGCAGTGGAGCTTTCTTGTGTCGGGCTGAAGTTTTCTCTCAGGGATTTCCCGCTGCCGCTGTTTGCGGCTGCTTCCGCGAAGCTTCGTGGGACGGCGATTATGGCAGCGCAGGCTACAGTGTACCAGCCGCAGCAGAAGTCCGACGTGTTTCTTGGAAGGTTCCGGCGGGTTACCGTGTTACGAACGGCCAGCGGCGCCACCCCTCCGTTGAAATTCTACTATGAAGCCGAGGCGGAGTTTGAATCGGCTGATCTGTCGTACGGGGTGGGGTATGAACCCATGCTGTTTGCCGATGTGAGTTACGCGGTAACGTGCGCTGTGAGGAAGGGTCAGCCTACAACCAGGCAGGCGAAGGTGATTGCGGCGGCAGCGGCGGCGGCAGCAGCAGCTGGGAAGCCGTATCCTCCGGTGCAAAACACCCTCTCTGTGCCTGCTCTTGCTGCTGCAGCAGACCCTGCTGCGGCTCCTCAGGTCTGGCCGCCAGTGGAGAGAAGCTTGCCGTGGTGGGATATCATGAGGTATTACATGCACGGGCATGCGCAGTTCATAGCGCTGGACTATCAGGTGTTTGTTCAGGCGACTGTGGACCCATACGAGCAGAACGACATGCTTACACTGGTGGGTTCTCGGCTGGTGTTTTCCCAGAAGAAGGGGCAGATGTTTGTGCGAGGGGAGGATCTAGAGGCGCACATGTCAAGTGTTCCGGAGGATCCGCTAAGGAAGGCAGACGCGTGGGTGAGAGAGGGCGGGTCGGGCGGGGTCGGGAGGGGGACGGGCGGGGGAGCGGAAGGCGGGCGGTGGGAGGGAGACGAGTTTCTCCGTGCACCTGCGATAGAGACGCCGGTTCTGGAGCTGGATATAAGGATAGACTGGGAGGTGGAGGGGAATGGGGACGCGTGCGCGCACTATTTGCACGCGCTGCCGACGGAACCGGGCATGAGAACGGTTCTGTACGATCCGTTCCGGTCTGTGGGGATGAATTTCCGGTGGGACTGGCGGTTTTTGTCCAAGGAGCAGGCGAGGGTGATTCACAGCAAGGGGGAGAAGAAGGGGAAGAGCAATATGGGTGGTGGCGGTGGGGTTGGTGGGGTGAGGGTGGGTCGGAGCAGCAGTGCGGTTGATCTCCCTGCCTCTGGCTCTGCTGCTGCTGCTGGTGCTGCTGCTGCTGGTGCTGGCAACGCTGCTGCTGCTGTTGCAGGTGCAAGCAGTGGTTTAGGTAGGCATGCACATGCGTCCCCGGCAGTACCAGCCATACCGCGCTCCACCTCTCTGTCTTCCGCTTCGTTCTCCCGGGCCTCCTCCTCCTCCCACCGCTTCACCGAGGACGAGGATTTCTTCTCGGGCAGCTCAAATGCCCACCGGTCAAGCAGCGGCGGGTCGTTCTCGTCCGTTGGATTCGAACCCGGCAGCGCATCGCAGCCCGGTGATTGGCCGAGAGGAGCGGTAGGAGGAGATACAGGGGCGGGGCTGGGTGCAAGCGGGCATGGGCACTCGCTGAGACACAGAAGAACTTCATCGGGTAATATACCTTGGCATGTGGGAGCAGGGAATTGGGGAGGCGGAGGAGAAGGAGGGGGAGGAGGAGGTGGGGGTGCAGGTGCTGCTGTGGCTGGCGGTTTTGACAGTCCACACATCGGAGGAGGAGGAGGAATCTCAGGAAGCGGAGGGATCGGAGGAAGCGGAGGGATGGGAGGAGGGTTTGAGGTTGCTGGCGGGGGGGGAGTGCGCCAGCCGACGTTCAACCTGGCAAGCCACGACATCAAGTGGCTGTTCAAGTTTTACAACCTCATGTATCTCTCCTCCCACAAGCTCCGGAACTTCGGCCGCCGCCGCTACGGCTTCCCTCGAAAGCCGAAATCCGGCAACCTGAACCTCAGCCAGGTGATGTCTGAGATGCTGATCCGGCTGCATATCGCGCCGGGAGCATGGCGGCATTACTCTTTTAGGAACCCGGACCCGGCGGAGGGGTTGGTGTTGCTGGTGGATGAGTTGGTGTATGAGTTGTGTTATAGCAGGAATTTGAAGGCGTGGGATGGGAAGACGAGACGGCCGAGTTTTAAGACCGCGCATACGGGGCTTGATGTTGTGCGGATGAGGATTGTGGTGGAGGAGCCTGGGAGTGGGGAGGGGGAAGGGGATGGGCAGGAGGGGGGCGGGGGGATGGAGGGTGGAGGAGGAGGGGGAGTGGGGAGAGGGGGTGTTGGTGGGACGAGTGGGCGGGTTTTGGAAGGGGATGAAGCTTCTGAGAAGATTCTGGAGTTGCTGATGGGGGAGGATGAGGTGGGTGGGGGTGGGAGGGAGGGGGTGATGGGAGGGGTGGCTGAGAGGGGGCCACTGGGTAAGGGTCTGGTTACCAGACGAAGCACCGGCGGCAGCAGCTTTGGATGGGGGGGAGGGGGAGAGGGAGGGGCACGAGGGGAGGAAGCAGGAGGCGGGGGGAGAGGCACGGGGGCAGCAGGATTCCGGAGCAGCAGCAGCAGGATTGTTGGGGAAGGGTGGACGAAGGCTGATCAGAACTTTTTGATGTCGTGTGACGGGGTGATGATCAGGAAGCAGGCACCTGATGGGAACGCGGAGCAGATTCAGAAGTGGCGTGTGGGCGAGGGGTGGAAGAGTTGGCTCATGGGGGCTGCGGGGAGTGGCGGGGGAAGGGGGGGAAGGGGAGTAGCAGGAGGAGACGGCGAGGGGAGCAGCAGAGGGGGGTTGAGCGAGAGCAGGAAGGGGAGCAGCAACCGGATCAGCAACTTTGAAGGGGAGGAGGAGGAGGGTTCTGCGAGTGATGGAGAGGAGGGAGATGATGGGGAGAGGGCGGAAGGAGAGGAGGGGGGAGAGGGGGAGGAGGGGGAGGAGGAAGAGGGGGAGGCGGAGCAGGATTTGGCAGACATCCTCGCTCTGCTAGTAGCAGACGACTGCTGGAGGATCCTGGTCCCTGGGCTGAGGCTCCTCCTCACCATCCGCAACCGGGACGCGCTGTGGGCGTGGATGGCGGAGTTCCAGCGCGGGTTCGCGTCAGACAAGCCGTCCCCGTCGCGCCAGCTGGCGCAACGCAAGAGGCTGGAGGCGGCCGGGGGGGTGCCGCCGCCGGTGGTGGGGGCGGCGCTGGTGGCGCAGCAAGTGGCGGCTCAGATCGCAGCGGAGAAGGCGGAGAAGGAGGCGGCTAAGGCTGCTGCTGCTGCTGCTGCTGCTGCTGCTGCTGAGGCTGCTGCGGCAGCGGCAGCGGCGGCGGAAGCACAAGCAAAGGCAGCAGGAGAAGGTGTGGGAGTGGTGGAGGGGGCACAGGGAGGGGGAGGTGGTGTGGCCGGTGCTGCTGCTGCTGGGGGTGCTGCTGACGGTGGTGGTGGGGGAAGGGGAGGTATGGGGGCTGGGGCGGCGGGTATGGGGATGGGGGGAGAGGAGGATAATTGCACGCTGAATTACATGATCAACATCATTCGCCCGCAGTTTAACTTCCACTCTGAGGATGCTCATGTGAGTATGATTCTGCAAACTGCACATCTGATAGTCAAGAAACGTATTTGGAAGGACGAGTTTTGGGACGTCTCATCAAGAGGTGCATTTGGACTGCCTTGCATCTTCCATTCTACTCATCTGGCTTTCCTCCCTGTTCTATCTGCCTTCCTCTTCTTCCCCCCCTCCCCCTTCAACTCCCAGGGTCGGTTCCTCCTAGCTGCCAAGAGCGGGCGTGTGCTGGCTCGCACCTTCCACTCAGTCTTTGCCGGAGCCATCGAAGCCCTTGCCTCCATCACTCCTCCCCCTCCTCTCCACTCTTCCTCCTCGGTTGCTCCTCCTCCTCCTCCCCCCTCCTCCTCCATCTCCTCCTCTGCTCCGCCTGCTCTGTCTCTGACCAGCACCCCTCCGTCCACTGTGCCTCCCTCCCCTTCCTCCTCCTCCAACGCCTCTACCTTATCCTCCTCCGCTCCTCCTCTCTCCGCCCTTAGTACCGCAGACTCCTCTCCCCTTGTACCTGGGTCACTCGCAGCTGGGGTTGCAGGAGCAGCAGCGGCAGCAGCGCCAGTGGCAGCACCGGCAGCAGCAGGTGCAGGAGAAGGGACAGGGGTGGGAGTAGGGGCAGGGATGGGGGCAGGAGGAGCAGGAGCAGGAGAGGTAGCAGCAGGAGCGAGAGCAGCATCAGCAGCACCTGTAGCAGCAGTGCCATCCCTAACCCCTCCACCCCCGCACACGTCAGACATCATGCCGGGATTCGGTGATGACCTGGACACGATTCAGTGGAACCGGCATGAGCTGGCAGTCATGCTGGAGAACGTGCAGGCCTACGTGGCACCCACTGACGTGGACCTGACAGCTGGCGTGCAGTGGTTGGCCCACGTGCCCATGGGTGCGGGGAGGAGGGGGGGAGGAAGGGGTGGGAAGGGGAGGAGGAGGAGGGGTGCGGGGATGGTTGGGATGGGTGGGAGAGGGTCGGAAGGGAGTCTTGCTGGTGGTGCCACTAGTGGGGATGGTGATGGTGACGATGGCGGTGGTGCTGCTGGTGCTGGGCCGAGCGGAGTGATGATGCTGGGAAGAGGGGCTGCTAGTAACGGGGATATGGAGGGCAGTCACCTGCTGAAGCAGGTGTTTCAGCCGTGCACCATGTACCTGGAGTATACGCGATACAAGAGTGGGTCTCAGGGCGCCCAGGTGAGGAACACACGATAATGATCACAGGATATCTTGTTCCTGCACCATGCATGCTCCAAGCATGCATCATGTATGTACCTGGAGTAACGTGATACAAGTGCGGGTCACAATGAGCCCAGGTGAGGAATGTTTCAGGCTCAAGTCCCCATTTTCATGCTCAGGTGATAGAGTCACAACATAGAGAGTGCCTAACCCCCAACCCATTGTGTGTCTGGTGCACAAGAAGAAGCCATTGACGGACGTGAGTGCGTGCCAGCATGCCCACTCGCATCGTTACTGCCACTAGAACCACCCACCCAATGTCTCCCACTTCCTTCCTCCCCGTTGCCTCACTTCTGCCCCTTTGTCCGCATGTTCTGTGTGTGCAGAAGAAGCCGCTGAAGGAAGTGAGTTTCAGTGTGCCCAACATCACAGCCACCATGACCTCCTGACCCTCTCGCGCTCGTGCTCAATCCGATCTCTCCTTCTTCCCTCTCTCCTCCCTCCCTTCCTTACGTTGCAGAAGAAGCCGTTAAAGGAAGTGAGTTTCAGTGTGCCCAACATCACGGCCACCATGACCTCTCAGCAGTTCCAGACCCTCACCGATATTATCATGAACCTCGCGCTCGCGCCCACGCCCAAGTGAGTCCCGTCACATATTGCACCATATAAGCGGGCAATATCTACACAATTCAACTCATCTCAACAGTTCCAGACCTCATAATTAACCTTGCCCCCGCGCCCACGCCCAAGTGAGTTCTAAGCCCCTACACACTCCTAGCTCCTTTCGTGTGCCATAGTAACGAGGTGACTTTTGAGTCGACTCAAAAGTCACGCCCAAGTGAGTTCTAAGCCCCTACACACTCCTAGCTCCTTTCACTTCCAAACACGTGACCTCCCTTCACATGCACCCTCGGTGCACTCACCCCTCCTCCCGGAAACCCCTTCTCCTCCCCGTCCTCTCACCCCCCTCGCCTCTCCAATCCAGTTTGGAATAGCCAAAACTGCGGCCAGATGCAGACGAGGACAAGGAAGAAGAGGAGGAGTACGGATCCCGCCCTGACGGAGTACTCGAGGTGGAGGCGACAGAGGTGAAGGCAGAGGTGAAGGCAGAGGTGAAGGCAGAGGTGAAGGCAGAGGTGGCACAGAGGACCTCTGGAGCACGAGAGGAGGCACAGGACTTGACCCTTGGGTTTCCTCCCTATCCATGCACTCCTCTCCCCCCCACCCCGCCTCCATCCAGGCTGAAAAAGCCAAAAGTGCGACCCGATGCAGACGAGGAAGACGAGGAGGAGGAGGAGTACGGATCCCGGCCGGATGGAGTTCCCGAGGTGGAAGCAGCGGAGGTGAAGGCAGAGGTGGCGCAGCGGGCAGTGAACGCGCTCATCCAGGACCTCTGGAGCACGGCTGCCCTCACCGCCTCCAGGGTTCACGGGCCTGAGCTGGCGTTTGCTGGCAGCTGGGACGGAGGGGGAGGGGGAGGAGGGGGGGGAGGTGGCATATATGGGTCGGGCCGGCTGGTTCTGGAGGAGGAGGATCCGACCCACAGGAGCCTTGTGCTCGCTCCGCCCATGGTGCTGGTGAGTGGTTGCTTGGTGATTGATTTGCTGTTGATGCTCCAGCCAGCATGTGGCCACTTGTTCTGAGTTGAGTTGTCTCACACGGCGCCCGGCTGGTTCTGGAGGAGGAGGATCCGACCCACAGGAGCCTTGTGCTCGCTCCGCCCATGGTGCTGGTGAGTGTGCCGTTCCCCTGGTGAGTGTGTGGGTCGTCCACTGGTGAGCGTGGCTAGTTGAGTTGACTCAGACGGCACCTGGCTGGTCCTGGAGGAGGAGGATCCGACCCACAAGAGCCTTGTGCTTGCGCCGCCCATGGTGCTGGTGAGTGCGTGTGTGATTCGTTCCCCTGGTGTGTGTGGCTAGGTGAATTGACTCACACGGCATCTGGCTGGTTTTTGATGTGGAAAATTCGACCCACAGGAGCCTTGTGCTTGCGCCACCGGTGATCCGGTCAACGCATCTCTTGTTCTTTTCTTCCCCGTTCACCACCTCCCCAGGTTGCTGCTCTCAAGAAAGAGTACCTCGTGCGCCGAGCTTTCCTTCGGGCGGCTTCTGAAACATTATCTGTTTCTATTTTTCCCTTACGTTATATTATTCTTGCTACAATCATCCTCCCCAGGTCGCTGCTCTCAAGGGAGAGTACTTCGTGTGCAGGAATTTCCTGCGGGCGGCTTTTAAGAGATCTCTAAGTTCCCCTCGTTGTCACCCTAATCATCCTCTCATGCCCTCATCCTCTCATCTTCTCATCCTCCCAGGTCGCTGCTGTCAAGGGAGAGTACCTCGTGCGCAGAGCTTTCCTGCGGGCGGCTTTGAGGCTTCTAAGATCCATTTGTCATCACTCTGATCCTCCGTTCCCCAGGTCGCTGCTCTCAAGGGAGAGTACCTCGTGCGCAGAGCTTTCTTGCAGGAGTCTTTGAGGCTTCTAAGTTCCCTTGGTCGTCACCCTCTGATCCTCCTTTTCCCATGTCGCGGCTCTCAAGGGAGAGTACCTCGTGCGCAGGGCTTTCCTGCGGGAGTCGAGGCAGGAGTGCCGGGCAGCAGTGGGGCGGGCGGCTTCTAAGAGTCGACTCAATCGTCACCCTCTAATCCTCCTTTCCCCAGGTTGCTGCTCTTAAAGGGGAATACCTTGTGCGCAGGGCTTTCCTGCGAGAGGCTTTTGAAACATGTTTAGTTTCTTGTTTTCCCTTACCTCATATTAATATTGCAATCAACCTCCCAGGTCGCTGCTCTCAAGGGAGAGTACCTCGTGCGCAGAGCTTTCCTGCGGGAGGCAAGGCAGGAATGCCGGGCAGCGGTGGGGCGGGCGGCGCGGCAGCAGCGGGAGAAGCAGAAGCAGCCGTCGTCGGCGGTGGCGGTTATCTGGACCATCGACCGGGCAGCATGGTCGCTGCTGAGTGATGGACACGTGTTTGCAGAGGCCGAGATCCAACACATGGTGAGAGGCTGAAAGAAACACATAGTGAGTGAGAGTCAAAGGGAGGGAGAAGAAGGAGAGGTTGTCAGCAATGGTGGTAATCTGGACCATTGACTGCACGGCATGGTCGCTGCTGAGTGATGGGCACGTGTTTGCAGAGGCTGAGATTCAGCACATGGTGAGTGCCATCACCCTCCCCCCCTCCCCCTCCCCCTCCCCCACATCACCCTACCCCACCATCACCATCGTCGGTGGTTGCGGTTATTTGGACCATTGACCGCGCGGCATGGTCGCTGCTGAGTGATGGGCACGTATTTGCAGAGGCTGAGATTCAACACATGGTGCGTGGCTTGGGCAAATCTTTATGCCTCGACTCGTGTTGAGTTGCTTGGGCAGTAGAGGGAGACGCATGGTCAAAAGGATGTCTGTCAGCAAGTGGTGAGTGACTGGCTGGTGTGGGGGGGCCCGAAGAGAGCGAGAAGCAGAAGCAGCCGCCATTTGCGGTAGCGGTGATTCGGCATAGTCATGGCTAGCTTCGTCATCAAGTCACATCTTGTATTCCTCACTCTCCGTCCCCTCCTACCCTGTCACATCAGCTGCTGAACGTGAACAGGGATTTCAACGACATAGGCATGGCATGCTTCTCAATTTTGCAACCCCCCTTCCTACCACACCCCCCTAGTGCTGCACCCCTCCCATGCTGCCACACACTCCACATCAGCTCCTTAACGTGGACAGGGATTTCAACGACATAGGCATGGCATGTTTTGTCATCAAGTCACATGTGCCTGGCCTCCCCCTCTCCCTCCCCCCCTTCCTCACATCAGCTCCTGAAAGTTGACAGGGATTTCAACGACATAGGCATGGCCAATCAAGTCCATCAAGAAGCCAATCATTGATGTTTTGTCATCAAGTCCATCGCTGTGCGCAACTGCTTCTTGAAGAAGCCAAGTCCAATATATCTGGTCTCACCCCCTTCCTTCCCCCCCCCCCCGCTCCTCCACCATCTCAGCTCCTCAACGTGGACAGGGATTTCAACGACATAGGCATGGCGTGTTTCGTCATCAAGTCCATCGCTGTGCGCATGTTTTGTCTCCCCTCCATTCCTTTCCCCCCCACCTCCTCCACCATCTCAGCTCCTCAACGTGGACAGGGATTTCAACGACATAGGCATGGCGTGTTTCGTCATCAAGTCCATCGCTGTGCGCAACTGCCTGCCTCAAGCCAAGTCACGCCTTGTGCTCTCCGCCTGGAACCCTCCTCCCAACTGGTCGCGGTCAGTGCCCGCCCCTCCTCGTTCTGCCACCCCCTTTCCACCTCATTGCGCCATGCTGTATACAAGCCAAGTCACGCCTTGTGCTCTCAGCCTGGCCCTCCCGACTGGTCCTGGTCAGTGCCCGCCCCTCCTCGTTCTGCCTTCCCCATTCCACCTCACTGACCCGTGCTTTAAAAAAACCCAGTCACGCCTCGTGCTCTCCGCCTGGAACCCCCCTCCCGACTGGTCCTGGTCAGTGCCCTGCCGGTCGTACTCTACAATCTCCCCCAATCCCCAAGACACTCCACAAGACACACCCATATATCTCCAGTGTCCGTTCTCAGAACTGCGTGCTATTATCTGGTTGTGATTCCTTTCTTAGCCAGCACCCATTCCATCCTCCCTCTTGTTCCTCCTCTCCCATTTCCCTCCCTATGCCCTGGGTGTTGCAGCCATGCCAAGATTCGAGTAGTCTCCTCATTCCCCCCCTCTTCTTCCCCATCTTCGGTCTTCCCCCTTCCTCTTTCTACCCGCCCCGTGCTCTCCATGTTGCAGCCATGCAATGATTCGAGTGGTGGGCAAGATAGGCAAGCCTGTCGACGGTGTCTCCCCCATTGAGACCTTTGAGGTGAGATGAAACGCCTGAGTTGAGATGAAACGCCTGAGGTGAGATGAATCGCCTGAGGTGAGTTGAAACGCCTGAGGTGAGATGAAACGCCTGATTTGCGATGAAACGCCTGAGGTGAGATGAAACATCCCAGGTAAGATGAAATTTCTGAGGTGAGATGAAACGTGCCAGGTGAGATGAAACGTCCCAGGTGAGATGAAACGTCCCAGGTGAGATGAAACGCCAACATTTCTGCTTGAAATCTACTGCCTGTTGCCAACTCTTGCTGCCTTTGCCGATGAGGTCTCCCCGCCACTGCCCATCTAATTGACAGGAAATGTGGGCTGCTGGGAGGCATTATAATCAAGTAATTCCTTACTCACCGTTTGAGCATGCGCATGCATATGTGCATGTGCATGGGCAGGTGGGGATTTACCCGCTGCGCAAATATACCGAGTGGCGTGGGACATGTTAACTCATTCCTTGACTCACTATCTGTTCATGTGCATGTGCGTGCGTGCATCTGTGTCCGTGCATACATGTGTGCATGAGCAGGTGGAGATCTACCCGCTGCGCATCTACCTCACGGAGCAGATGTACCGGGTGGTGTGGGACTATCTCTTTGCCAAGGAACCAGACGAACAGCTTCGGAAGCAGGTTAGCTCATACTATGCCTGGTTACCTCTTTTTGATACCTCTTACCACTTGATTCATACCACTGAATATGGATAAAAAGGGCCTCTACAGGGTAGCTATGTGTAGCGCAGCTGTGTTTTCCCTTCAAATGCTGATCCTTCGTGTGCCATGTACTCTTGCTGCGTCTTTAACGACTGCTCATCTCACCTTGTTCCTTCATCGTCATCCCATCCAAATTTTCCTCTTGCACATTCCCCAGGAGATGTGGGGCCCAGTAGCCCTCCCAGTGAAGCAGAAGGAAAAGCGCCGCTTGACTGCTCCCGACACCCTCTCCTCCTCTGCTCCAGTTGACTCATTCCCCCGTTCTTCCCCTTGTCTTCAACCCATTGTCTTCAACCCCATGTTCAACCCCACCTTGTCATCCCCCAGGAGATGTGGGGTCCTGTGGCACTCCCAGTGAAGCAGAAGGACAAGCGCCGCTCCACTGCTCCCGACACCCTCTCCTCTGCTGCTGCTGGTAGTGCTGCTGGCGGGGCCTTCCCAATGTCAGCGACTGTTGCGGGTGCGGGAGGAGGAGGTGGGGGGAGAAAGGGCGCGGAGGAGCCTCGCTTGAAGCACCAAACTTCAGCTCCTCCCTCTGCTCTGCTGGTTGAAGAGATTGTAAGTCTCTCCCTCTCACATTGAGGCGCCGAAGAAGTCACTCCCTTGTTGAACCAGCAGCTTTCGGCTGCCCCCACTGTTCTGCTCCTTCCCCTCCTTCCTCTCCTCCGATCCCAATCTATCTACCGCATCTACACCCTCCTTGCTTTCCCTCCCTTTCCCCCCCACCAGCGTCGCTCCACCACGGACAGCATCAACTCCACCGGCTCTGCCCCCGGCTCCTTCCCTTCCAACCCCTCGCTCTCCTCCTACCTCCCGTCCTCGCTCCCCACCGCCTCCACCTCCCCTTTCCCCGCGTCCGCCTCGCCGTTCCACCCGTCCCTCGCCCCGCCGCGCTCCCCTCTACCCGCCTACTCGGTTATCCGCTCTCAGAGTAGCCCCACGTTCCGAGCCCATGCAAGTGCCTTCTCAGCAGATCGATACCCCCCTGCTGCTGCCGCTGCTGGTGCTTCTGGTGCTGCAATCTCCGGTGCTGCTGCTGACGGCGATGCTACTGCTGGTGGTGCATACCCTGGTGGTGTTGCCGCTGGGGATGCTTTCCCTTCAGGTCCTTCCACTGGTCCGCTTCATGCCCCTCCAATCACTCACTCCTCCTCAGCGCCTCTCCCTTTGTCGAATCCCTCTGGTAGAGGTGCTAGCATCGCAGGCCTGGGATACAGGGGAGGAGGCAGGGGCGCGGGAATGGGTGGGTCCGCGGGTGGGAGAGGGTTGAGCTTGGAAGGAATTCGAGAGGGGGGGGAGAAGGATGGGGTGGGAGCGAGTGAGAAGAAGAAGGGGAGGGATAAGAAGGAGCAGGAGGAGAGGAGGAAGCTGAAGGCAGAGGAGAGGGTGGCGATGAGGGAGAGGGAGAAGAGGGAGCTTCTGGAGAAGAGGAGGATGAGGATGGAGCAGAAGGAGGAGGAGAGGAGGAAGAAGCTAGCACTGGAAGAGCAGAGGAGGACGAGGAGACAGGCGGTGTACATTCAGAACCTCAAGTTCAGCCAGGTACGTTTGGTTCTGCTCGCAAGTACCTCTTCTTTCAGCTCGATTTGCCCCCTGCCCTGTGATGCGCACGTTTAGCCCCTTCATGCCTCACCTCCTCTCATGTTCGGACCGAGTGATCTTCTTAACCCTGTCTCTCCTCACCTCCTCGCTCTCCCTTGTCCCGTCCCTCCTTCCTTCTCTGATCTGGTGAATGCTCTTGCTCATATACGAGGGGTACCCAGTGTCAGTCAGTCACCCACCTCCGATTCCTCACCGCCCAGTGTCAGTCAGGGGTACACATTCTCAAGCCTCTCTCTCCTCGCCTTCTCCCTTCACCAGGTGGAGCAGTTGATCACATACGAGGGGCACCCTGTATCAGTCACCGACATCTGCCTGCTCATGGACACGTTTGCCCGCACCAAGTACACATGAGACTGACCCACAAATTTCCTTTCCTTCCTCATGTCCACCCCTGGCAGGTGGAGCTGCTAATCACCTACAAGGGCTACCCCGTATCAGTGACCGATCTCCGTCTGCTCATGGACACGTTCGACCACACCGAGTACACCTGACCTGAGACCCACATCCTTCCTTTTTCTACCCCTCTCCCCCATCAGGTGGAGCTGCTGATCACATACGAGGGCTACCCCGTATCAGTGACCGATCTCCGTCTGCTCATGGACACGTTTGCTCGCACCGAGTACACGGGGCCATGGCACCGGCTGTTCTCGCGGCTACAACCTATGCCCTCATCCTCCTTCCCCTTCTCCCCCTCCTCCCCTCCGTGCAGGTGGAGCTCTTAATTACATACGAAGGGTACCCTGTCTCAGTGACAGACCTCCGTCTGCTAATGGACACGTTCGCCCGCACCGAGTACACGGGGCCGTGGCGCCGGCTCTTCTCGCGGCTTAGGAAGCATGTCATCTGGGGCGTGCTCAAGTCGGTCACAGGCATGCAGGTGAGAGCCACATTACCACACTGCACCGCGCTGCACCACACAACATGCACCGAGTACACGGGGCCATGGCGCCGGCTGTTCTCGCGACTTAGGAAACATGTCATCTGGGGCGTGCTCAAGTCTGTCACAGGCATGCAGGTGGGAACCGCATGATTGCACTGCACCACACTGCACTGTGCTGCACTGCGCTGAACCGAGTACACGGGGCCATGGCGCCGCCTCTTCTCGCGAAGAATGAAGCATATAATCTGGGGGTGCTAAAGTCTGTCACAGGCATGCAGGCGAGTATCACACATTACCGCACCACAGTGCACTGCACTGCACTGAACCGCACTCCACCATATTGTACAGAGTATGAGAGCGGTGGCTGCAGCAGCAATAACAGAGATGGTTGTCTTCGAAGGTTCTTTTGTAGCTCCTCATTTTAAATGCACCGCCCCCTTTATTCCTCTTCTTGCCTCGTTCCCTTCCTCCTTTTTCTTTGTTTTAATCTCAAGGCTGCAAGTTAATGGAACGCATCTGCAAGCAGGCAGCAGCAGCAGAGATGGCTGTGTTGTTTGGTCTTTCTGCTAGCTCGTTTTGAACGCAACACCCTCCCATTCCCCCTCTCCCTCTTTCCCAACCTGAAACCCTGAATTATTACCCCAGGGTCGCAAGTTCAAGGACGCCCATTTGCAAGCAGGCAGCAGCAGCGAGGTGACTTTTGGGCGCCTAATAAATTCCCCTTCTTCTCCCTCTTTCCCAACCTGAAACCCTGAATTATTACCCCAGGGTCGCAAGTTCAAAGACGCTCATTTGCAAGCAGGCAGCAGCAGCAGCACTACCGCTCCATCCAAGTCGCAAGCAGCAGCGGCTGCAGCAGCAGCAGCAGAGATGGCTGAGAGTGACAGTGACAACGAGAGCGCACCAGCAGGGGGGCCGTCAGGGACTGGGATGGACGGTAAGGCTTTCAAGAAACTTCCTGCAGCAGCAGGGGCAGGAGGAGGAGCAGGGGGGGGAGGAGGCGGGGAGGGGGTGGGTGACGGGAATTATGGTGGGAGTGTGGGGGCTGGAGGGGGAAGGGTGGGTGTGTCGGAGGCAGGATCTGCTGTTCCTGGTGCTGCACCCGCTGCTGCGAGTGGTAGCAGCAGCAGCGCACACATGGGCAATGCGGGCATCACCAGTAGCGGTTCAGCGGAAGGTTCGTTTGCTCCAGGAACAGCTTCTGCTGGTGCTGGCACTGCTGCCGCCTCTGCCACTGCTGCTACCGCTGCTTCTGCTGCTCCTGGTGGCAGTACCACCGGCGTGAGTAGCAGCAGCGGCGGTGGCGGCGGCAGCGGCAGCAGCAGCAGCAGCGGCAGGTGCTTCTGGTGCGGGTTCACTGCCTGTGGGAGGAGGGGGGGCGTCAATGCTTCTGGCCCGGTTGGGGAACAAGGGGGAGCGCATGGGAGATGGGTTTGTGTCGTCAGTTAAAGGGCTGTTTAAGGATCAGCTCGGGCGAGCAAAGCATGTGCTTAAGAGCAAAGAGCAGCAGCAGCAAGTGCATCACCATCACCACCACCGGCATCACCAGCAGCACCAGCAGCAAAAGCAGCAGAAGCAGCAGGGGGAGGAGGAGAAAGAAGGGGGCGGTGGTGGGAGGAGTGGAGAGGAGGGTAATGCGGGTGGGGAAAGTGGTGTGGTGAAGGGAGAGGGGAGTGGGGGGTCTCCTGTGGTGCCAACAAGGAGTGGGGAGATGGAGAGGGAGAAGGAGAAAGGGATGAGTTCACTGGTTGCGAAGGGACAGGCTTTGGTGCCTAAGCTGTGGACTCCAAAACAGAGTGCAGGTATGTGAGGTGGAGTGTACTGAGATTGACACAGGGAGTGGCGGGGGAGAGAGGGAGAAGGAGAAAGGGATGAGCTCACTGGTTGCCAAGGGACAGGCTTTGGTGCCCAAGCTGTGGACTCCAAAACAGAGTGCAGGTATGTGCGGTGGAGTGTACCTAGATTGAGACAGGGAGTGGCGGGGGAGAGAGGGAGAAGGAGAAAGGGATGAGCTCACTGGTTGCCAAGGGACAGGCTTTGGTGCCCAAGCTGTGGACTTCAAAACAGAGTGCAGGTATGTGAGGTGGAGTGAGCAAGGATGATTTTAAGCTGGAGGTGTGGGAGCTTGCGATTGGTCACAGGAAGGTGGGTTAGCAATTCTTTCTTTTATAGCAAGGTAAAAAAAACCTTATAAAAACAGTGCGTGTGCATCTAATCTAAGATGTCTTTTCCCCGTTTGCATCCATGTGTTGTTGATTCGAGCCAATTTGTAAATTTCTCCTTGTTGTTTGTTGTTTGTTTCAATGGTTTCCCTTCTGAACCTTGCAACTCCAGGTCGCATTGATGAAGTCATCCCGGAGGTTTCTGAAGATGGAGCTGCATCAGAGTCCTCTAGTGGAGCAATTGGTACTGCTACGGGGAAGGGCACAACTTGATGGTCCATCCACACTAATATATGGCTCCTCACTAATTTTGTTCCAGTTCAGTTACCTCTATGCACACTAATGACGTGGTCGTGGTAAATATAGTATTTTAGCAATGATAGCCACAAACTGGCTACGGTACCACTAACAAATGACTTGCAAAGTACATTATTTGCAATTTTCGTTTACATTATTAACGCAGCACATCGTAGCGATCTACCATCCACCACACTCAAACATGGCAACGATCCACGAGCGAGCTATCCCATTTAGAAATTCAGTTTCGGTTCTACGATTCGGAGAATAGTCGCTATCACATTTGTATCAGCAATCAACAGATCCGTCACTGGATCACTCGTCGTCATGGCTGCCAAAGGCCAAGTCCGTAAGCTGCTTTCCTCTATAACTTGGGTCCATTCGGCGGCTCCGTGTCTCATAATCTCCCTGATCGGTTGACAGGCTGATTTATTGGACTGCATAGACTGGCCATCGGTGGAGTGCCTGAACGCAAAACCTGGGAAGAATGTAGATAATGCAATCAAGCAGGTCAGTTCCTTCAGCGAAACCTTTCGGGGATCGTGACTCTTCGGCCGTTGCACGTCGAGACGCACCTTGAGTTTCTTCGTTACTTTTGCAGGGTTATAGAGAGGACGATGGCTTGTTTTTAGAAAGCGACGTTGATGAGCAACTACTGGTCTACGTCCCATTCAACCAAGTTGTGAAGCTTCATTCAATTCTGATCAAGGGTCCCGAAGAAGAAGGTACGTATTCCGCGACCGCGTGGTGATTTTCTTTCATCACTTCAATACGATTCATATCTCATCTTGGCACTCGCAGGACCCAAATGCATAAAGCTCTACTCAAATAGGCCGAACATGGGATTCAGGTAGGGTGTGAAGACATTCTTGTTTTCCCTTTTGATCTGTTATCGTGGCATCAACGTCTGAGAAAGTATCTCGTATTGACGCAGCAATGTGAGCGACATACCGCCGAGTGACACCATCAATCTTACAGCTGATCAGGTTCAGGTGAGAAAGGGGTTACACTTTGCATCTGTGAAGTTTGAAACTCTGTATGATGTGCGAATTTATCATCATAGTAAATTTGTCATGATGTGCAGGAAGGGAAGGCAACACCCCTGAAATACGTGAAGTTTCAAAATGTCAGAAGGTATTACATGAACTTTCAGCCTTCGCAGTTACCATTTTCATAAGCTATCTCTTACAGTTTTTCCCCTTCGCAGTCTTACTATATTCATCGAGAGCAACCAGTCGGGTGATGATGTGACTAAGGTTCAGAAGCTGGCCATACTTGGAAGCACGTGAGTGCACTAACTCTTTCCAGCCCCGCTAACTGCCCTCCGTATTCTTGTTCTTATTGAGGTGCCTTCACTTCATTTGAGATTCAACGTTGTCTCATTTGTCTGCAGTGTTGAGACCACCAACATGAAAGACCTGAAGAAAATTGACGACAAACAAGGCTAATGTTGTCACGTACTTAGCTATCAATGGCAGCTTGGTAATGTTGGGCTGAATGCCTTTCCTCAACAGTAGAGGCTTGCATTGTAGGACATGCAGGTCCCTTATCTGAAAACATGTATTGTATAAAAGTTTTTCATGTGCCCCCTTAGCTCGCTTAGGGAGAGAAATTCAGACATACCGTACACCCTATAGCTGTCTCAATTGGTCCCTTTCAAGCCTGTTACCGCTGCTGCTTCTGATGCTCCTTTCTCTCCTCTCTGCTCGTCTCTGTGCTGTGCTCGCTGCCGTGGTTCTGGTGCCAATTGCACTGCGCTGAGGCCCAAGGACACAGCAACAGTCATGCCAATGGGTGGTGCTTCTTGAAAGGTGCTGTGCAAGGGAGGATCCTCACCACATGGCTCGAGCTTGGCACGACATGGCAGTTCGAGCTTGGCACGACATGGCGGTGAGTTCCAACTTTAACTACTCCGCCTAAGCTGCATCTGATGCTCGTTTCTTAGTGCTTGTGCTGTGTTAGCTGCTGTAGTGCCGGTGTGTGACCCAAGGATACAGCAACTGCCATGCCAGGGGGTGGTTCTCAATTTCTGTGTAGAGCAAACTCCATGAATTTGAGAAATTCGAGATATTCATGGGCCTGGATTAGTCAATCTCGTGTAAATTAGATACACATTCCACCATGAAGCGAAATGGCTGATGTTGATTTATTACTGAAACAAAATACAAGTCTGGCGCAAGGGTGCAAACTATACAATCTAATACTCCTCGTTCTCATCATCACCAGGCTCGGTGGAGTCAGCACCGACTTCCTCATAGTCCTTCTCCAGCGCAGCCAAGTCCTCACGGGCCTCCGAAAACTCACCCTCCTCCATGCCCTCACCGACGTACCAGTGCACGAATGCACGCTTCGCGTACATAAGGTCGAACTTGTGGTCGATCCGGCTGAAGACTTCCGCCACAGAGGTGGAGTTGGAAATCATGCACACAGCACGCTGCACCTTGGCGAGATCGCCACCAGGCACCACGGTGGGAGGCTGGTAGTTGATACCGCACTTGAAGCCAGTAGGGCACCAGTCGACGAACTGGATGGTCCTCTTGGTCTTGATGGTGGCAACGGCGGCGTTGACATCCTTGGGGACGACGTCACCACGGAACATCAGGCAGCAGGCCATGTACTTGCCGTGGCGAGGATCGCACTTGGCCATCATGCTGGAAGGCTCGAACGCGCTGTTGGTGATCTCAGCCACGGACAGCTGCTCGTGGTAAGCCTTCTCGGCGGAGATGACTGGAGCGTAGGAGGAGAGCATGAAGTGGATGCGAGGGTAGGGCACCAGGTTGGTCTGGAACTCAGTCACGTCCACGTTCAGAGCACCGTCGAAGCGGAGGGAGGCAGTGAGGGAGGAGATGACCTGAGACACGAGACGGTTCAGGTTCGTGTAGGTGGGACGCTCGATGTCCAGAGAGCGGCGGCAGATATCGTAGATGGCCTCGTTGTCGAGCAGAACGGCGACATCGGTGTGCTCCAGGAGCGAGTGGGTGGAGAGCACGGAGTTGTAAGGCTCAACCACGGAGGTCGACACCTGAGGAGACGGGTAGACCGTGAAGCCGAGCTTGGACTTCTTGCCGTAGTCCACGGACAGACGCTCCAGGAGGAGGGAGCCGAGACCGGAGCCGGTACCACCACCGACGGCGTTGAAGACAAGGAAGCCCTGGAGACCAGTGCAGTTGTCAGCTAGCTTGCGGATGCGGTCAAGGCAGAGGTCGACGATCTCCTTGCCAACTGCAATCACGTAACGTAGGAAATAAGGGAAGAATAGTAACAGATCGAAGTCAACAAAAATGAAATCACTGGATACAATAAGATGTCAATCTTAGTAACATGCAGAATAAAACGCGAAACATTGTGAAGAGAGAAAATCACTTACTGGTGTAGTGACCACGGGCAAAGTTATTGGCGGCATCCTCCTTGCCGGAGATGAGCTGCTCGGGGTGGAACAGCTGCCTGTAGGCACCGGTCCTGACTTCGTCAATCACGGTTGGCTCCAGATCGAGGAACACAGCACGAGGGACGTGCTTGCCAGCGCCAGTCTCGCTGAAGAAGGTGTTGAAGGCATCATCGCCTCCTCCGCAGGTCTTCTCGCCGGTCATAAGCTGGCCATCAGGCTGGATGCCATGCTCCAGGCAGTAGAGCTCCCAGCAGGCGTTGCCGACCTGGATACCGGCCTGGCCGATGTGGACGGAGATGCACTCACGCATGGTGGCGGGATTAGTATTCAAAAATCTACGACGATTCTGAAGGCTAGGAAAGCTAGAAGGCTTGAAGGCGGATAGCTCAAAGGCTCTCGTGTGACGATATCAGGTCGTCAACACTCGATGCGTGAAGAGAAAATGGTTCCTGAGGAGGTTATATAATCCTGGTCACAGGTAAGCCAGCAGACACAGGAGGCTGGATGAGAAATTCTTCCTGACAAACTGTGTACCCTGGATCTGAATTCAGGAGGCAAAGCTCGGTGGTTTGGTAAATTCCGAGCCAAGACAGCTTGGCAAAATGCCTAAGCAAACGGCAACCCATACATACCTACGCCAGGCTCGTGGGATCATTGTCAAGGCGGGCAGATCCCAAAGCGTCCGAGCCTCGGAGAAACTCGAGGTTGTCATGGACCAATCTCGATGGGCTTTTTTGCTGGTTTCAGAAGCACGAAGCGCCTCGATAACGCGGGAACCCCCTGACGAGTGTCAGGGACATTGGCGCGGAGAAATCCACGCACACATGGGATGGCGGGGTTACTGCATTCGCGAGCTTCGTGCAACGGAAAAATCAAGGCTGGCTGGGAGCTCATTGGAAGAGCCTGACTCGGTCTTGTTGGGGGGAAAAAGAGTAACAGGGAACACAACAGAGCACTAACTTCAAATGTGCAAACAAAAGAAATATAACAAGTTCATTATTGAGACGTTCACGTAAAAAATGGGATCTTGCATTTGTGCAGCAATGCAGCTGCAAATGTCAGCCGCATCTGCATCCAACGTCTCCACCAACCATGTGCGCTCAGACATTCAGCTATCAGCACGTTGTGTTCACTACACTAATTTGTTTCTGTGGTTGCAATACATGTCACATTGTCAAATATTATAGCCTGTAGTGGGTTGGGCTATATGGGGTACAACTAGTTAGGGTTAGGTTATGTACCCCAATTCTGTCAATGCAACACATTCCGCTGTAGTTCTCATTCTGACATGGTATCAGCAGTAGGTTAGCGCTCCTAGCCCTAGGCCCGCCCTACCCCACGCCCCAGCCAGCCAGCCAGCGCGTCAGCCAGCCAGCGCGCCAGCCAGCCAGCGCGCCAGCCAGCCAGCGCGCCAGCCAGCCAGCGCGCCAGCCAGCCAGCGCGCCTGCCAGCCAGCGCGCAAGCCCGCCAGCCAGCCAGCGCGCCAGCGCGCCAGCCAGCCCGCGCGCCAGCCCGCTTGCACACCAGCCCGCCAGCGCGCCCGCCAGCGGGCGCACCAGCGAGCCCGCCAGCTCGCCTGCCAGCGCACCCGCCAGCGAGCTCGCCAGCGCGCCCGCCAGCGAGCCCGCCAGCACACCCGCCAGCACGCACGCCAGCGCGCCCGCTAGCGCGCCCGCCAGCGCGCCCGCTAGCGCGCCCGCCAGCGCGCCGCGCCCGCGCGCCACGCCAGCCAGCGCGCCGCGCCGGAGCGCGCCCCGCCAGCGCGCGCCCCGCCGCCCCGCGCCCAGCCAGAACGCGCCCCGCCTGCGCGCACCCGCCTCGCACTCACCTCCCTCTCCTCCTCCTCTCGCGGCTGGCGGCCGCTATCGCTTGTTCTCGCCCCTCATGGCGACGTCTCGCGTGCTCCGTTTCGACCCTGAGGGGCGCGCGATCGACTTTAGTACCTGGCTGACGCAGGCCCAGCGCCACCTTAGGAGCCAGCGCCAGGATGGCGTGCACCTGTTTGCGCACGCGTCCGGTGCTCTGCCCGCCCCGCCGCAGCCTACACCGCTGCCCACTACCCCACCGCCTACTTCCGAGCAGGAGGCTGAGTACCAGCGCCGGTTCCTCGCTCGTGACGTGTGGGAGTCTCGTGACGCTGCTGCCTGCCTCGCCCTGACCGACCTTCTCCCGCCGACTGAGGCCGTCCACTTCACTCAGGTCGAGTCTGCTGCAGACCTTTACACTGCTATTGTTGCTCGCTACTCCACTCCCTCCTCTGCCTCCCTCAGCCGCCTCCTCGTCCCCTTTATCTACCCTGACCTCGCCTCCTTTGAGACTGTCGCTGACCTCGCTACCCACCTGCGCTCCCTTGAAGCTCGCTTCAAGGCCGCTTGCACTGAGGAACAGCTTGCCCTTGCACCCCCCCCCATGTGGCTCACTATTCACTGGTTAGTCACTCGCCTCCCTGACCGTCTAGCCACAGCCCGCGACGCGCTTCTCCTGAAGCACCCCACTGAGCTTACTATCGATCTTCTTGAGACCGCTCTCTCGAAGATCGAGAGTAACCTCCTCGCTGTTGCCTCCGCCTCTTCCGCGCCTCCTCCTCGTCTCTTTGAGGGGTGTGCGGTACCACAGCTTCCCACCTTCACTGCCTCGCTTGCCACTGCCGCGTCTTCTGCCTCTGAGGAGACGGCGGCCGTTTCTGTCTCTGGCGGACAGAAACGTGGCAAGTCCGGCAAGAAGGGAGGGAAGGGCGGCGGGGGTTCTGGGGGTGTTGCGGGTGGCGGCGGTGGCGGTAGTACTAGTGGCGGGGGTGGCGGCGGGGGTGACTCGGGACCTGACGGCTCTCCTCTAGACGGTGGTGAGGGGTTTCCGCAGCAGCAGCAGCAGACTCCTCCGCAGCTGCCACCGCCTGGACAGCAGCAGCGGCAGGGACAGCAGCAGCAGCGCCAGGGCCAGCAGCAGCGTCCGCCTCAGCAGCAGCCCCAGCAGTGGGGCACTCAGCAGCAGTGGGGCACTCAGCAGCAGTGGGGCCCTTCGCAGCAGTGGGGCCCCCCGCAGCAGTGGAGACCTACGGGCCCCCCGAGCACTGGGCGCAGTGGTGCCCCTTCTAGTCGGGGACCCCGCTCGGCCGGCCGCGACGTTGGTCCCTGTGAGTACTGGATCCTGACGGGTCCGCGCAGGGGCACGTACTGCGGCCGCCCTGACCACTCTGCTGCACGCTGCTTCAGCCGTCTCGACGACCTGTACGTCCTGCACCACGGCCCCTCCGCTCCCCCGCCACCGCGCTGGGGACCACTCCTTGCTCGTGGTGTTGCTGTGTTTGATATGTCTATGGATGATGCTAGGTCTTATGCGATGTATGCTGATGTTGACTATAGTGCTGCTGGATCTGTTTACTTGCCTGTACCTAGCGTAGGATCTTTGCCTGTTGCTAGAGTAGGTGCTGGTGTAGGATCCTGTCTAGCTACTAGTACAGGTGCTCCCTCGGCGGACGCGTCGCTCTCCTTCACACTGGACTCCGGAGCGACGCAGTGCTTCTTCCGCGACAGCACGACTCTTACTCCACTCTCGGCGCCGGTTTCTGTAGCACTGGCCGATCCCTCTTCGGGACCGGTCATTGCGACTCACGCCACTACCCTCCCGTGCCCAGCTGCCCCTTCCGGTTCTCTGACCGGCCTCCACGTTCCTACTTTCTCTAGGAACCTGGTTGGTGTGGCTCCTCTGGCGAGACAGCACGTCGGGGTCTGGTTTGAGCCTTCTGGTGACACTGCAGTCTGTGTGGACGGTGACACGTACGCCCCTCTGGCCACTTTTCGTCAGGAGCCGGGCTCTGGTCTGTACACCCTCCACACCGACACCCGTCCGGTTCCCCCGTCCCACCAGGTAGCCAGGTCCAGTCAGGTAGCTGTGCCAGGTCTAGTGGCTGCGTCGTGCTCGTGTCGGTCGCTGTCCCACCCTGTCCTCCTCTGGCACCACCGCCTTGGTCACCCGTCCCTCTCTCGTCTCCGCGCTATGTCCAGTCAGCGTCTTGTCTTAGGCCTCCCCCGCGACCTCCCGCCGCTCCCGCCGTCCCCCGCTCCTCCGTGCGGTCCTTGTGTCCAGGGTCGGCTGCGCGCCACTCCTCACTCCTCCTCCCTTCGTCCAGCCTCCGAGCCCTTTGAGACACTCCACTTAGACGTCTGGGGCCCCGCTTCCCGGCTTGGACCTGAGCGAGAGAGCTTCTTTCTAGTGGTCGTTGACGACTACTCTCGGTACACCACCGTGTTCCCTTTGGCGAAGAAGTCCGACGTGACTTCTACGCTGATCCGGTGGCTGCTCGCCACCGAGAGTACTCGTCGTCGTCGTGTCAGTTGTCTCCACTCCGACCGTGGGGGTGAGTTTCGCTCCGGCATTCTCGCCAGATTCTGTGCTGAGCAGGGCATCACCCAGTCCTGGACTCTTCCAGACTCTCCACAGCAGAATGGGGTTGCTGAGCGCCGGCTAGGCCTGGTCATGGAGATTGCCCGCACCTCCATGATCCACGCCCGCGCGCCCCATTTTCTGTGGCCCTACGCGGCTCGGTACGCCGCTCACCAGCTGAACCTCTGGCCTCGCGTCTCTCGGCCAGGGGCTTCACCGACCAGTCTTTGGACAGGGTCCCCTGGTGTTGCGTCGAGGTTTCGTGTCTGGGGCTGCTTGGCGCTTGTCCGCGACACCTCTGCGGACAAGCTCTCACCTCGCGGCGTCCCCTGTGTCTTCCTTGGTTTCCCTGAGGCCTCCTCTGACTTCACCTTTTACCACCCTCCCTCCCACCGGTTCTTTGACTCTCGTGACGTCAGTTTCGACGAGTCCGTCCCCTACTACGTCCGGTACCCCTGTCGAGGTCTCCCGGTCCCCCCCCCCTCCCCTCTTCCTCGCCCCAGCTCCTCCTCCTCCCGCTCCCTCTCCTCCGGTACCCCCCCCGGTTCCCGCTCCGTCAGGTGTGTCACAGGCTACCCCCCCTCCCTCGGTACCCCCCCAGGTCTCTCCTCCTTCCCCACAGTCGTCCTCACAGCCTCCGCAGCAGCCGTCGGCGCTTCCTCTCCCGGCCACTGCGGACTCTGAGGGTGTTGGTGCTCGAGGTGAGGGCTCTGGCGGTGCCGGTTCTGGGGGTGTTGGAGTTGGAGCTGAGCGTGCACCTGCCGCAGCTGCACGTCCCGAGCGTGTTGGAGTCGGTGGTGGTGCTGGAGCTGGTCGTGTTTCTGGAGCTGGAGAGTCTGAGGCTGGTGCTGGTGCCACTGGGCGCACCACGACTGGGGGTGCGGGTTTGCCTTCCACAGGTGCTGGTCGTGCTGCAGCGGGGGGCAC